TTCTGTACTTCAAATTCACCAGTATTTAAATATCTCCAGTTTTGTAAATATTTCAGTATTTTCCCCTCTCTCTTAAGAAGAAGGAAGAGGGGTGGCAATAAAACTTAACAAAGCCACGTACGATCTGCATAAAAAGGGGAACTGAATTTCACACAGAGAGCTTCATGATGACACTTTTTCATTTTTAGAAGTATCTTGTTGATTTCTAAGGATAGGAAAGGCAAATAGCAGTAACTGGGTCATTTAGGTTCCTGACTAACTTCTCAGTGAGTCCTAACATCTTTAAGTCCTCAAAACTTTTATGTTTGTAATTACATGGAACTGATATGTATTTACTTTGGCACACCTAGAGCCACATAATGGGCTCTCAAAAGAAAATGCTGTTCACCTTCACATGAATAGCAAGAGCTAGACTAGTGGTCTGTAAAGAAGAGACTACAGTGGTGAAATATCAGCGTCTGCAGAAGCCAAAAATAAAAATGAACCCACTTTCAGAGCTAAAAGTGAGTAGCGTTATTCATGCATAGTGCCTCTCATTGACAAGAAGACAGCTCGAAACCAAAGAAAAAAACTTTTTTTTTTTTTTTTAAATGTGCTTAAAGCTGTATCCTATGTAAACTACTTCCTCTGTGGTTGTTTCTTTACTCTGTACACTGACATGTTTTTTTAATAGTGACTTACAGAAAGATGATCACAGACTGTGGTACTTTCAATTACTGTTTTTACAAAGTCGCTAATTGTAAGGCAGTACAGGGAATTTTAATGCATCTGTAGCTGTTGGAACGACACACTGACAGGTGATCAGGAGTCTTGGTTTGTTTTTATTTTCAGTCACAAAAATTTTCAAGTCCTATTCTTCAGCTGTATTGAAAAATAATTCATTTAGAAGCTTGGATTCCTGCTTTGCTCCTCTAGCAAATATTGTCCTGACTCTTAATATTGGGTGGATAGTGATGGCAGAAAATCAATGTCAAGTCTTACTCACATCAAACAGAAGTATATTCATGTCAGCAACAGCAAGAAAAGGACTTGCGAAGCTATTAGATACTATGGCCATATAAACCCACTGTCAAGTGCTTCTTGAGTCCACTAGATGGAGTAAAACTTCTCTCTGCACCCTTTTAGCAAAAGTCGCTCACAGCCTATACTTAGCTCAAATGAATCATGTGTGAATAAGAGGCTGCTGATCTCTGAATTCCTAACAAAAATGCAAGAGTTTCCTTGTACCTTGTGGAGCAGGAGTTGTTAAACTTTCAGTATCTGAGAAGCCAGGAGGACAAAATCAATCTTAAACTAGCTTAAGGGGGGGAAATAAATAAGACATGAATACTAATAAAATACTAATAAACATGAATATTTCTTTTACTGCAATTGACCTCCCAACTCTACTACTCCCTCCCCCCTTCACTCATTTCTTAGGAGGAGAAAAAAAAAAGAAAAAAAAAAAACTTTCTTCTGTATGGTAAAAAAGCTAATGTGCAGCATCTCCTACATCGTGACTATGTGAGTGCTGTATCTCAGGTATGTACAGTTCCTGGATGGAAAAAATATACGATAAACCATCAATAGTTGTGACACACACTAAGGCTGTATTTTCATACAAGGGCCATTTCAGTTCCCCTTTATGACACATGCCTTCTACCAACCACAGCCCAAATACGTTAAAGAAGTTGTCTTACTGTCTGTAGCTATTTTGTAGTGACAGCGATACAAGCAAGCGCTTTTCACAACAGTGAACCTGCCATTCCTGTCCACCAGTTTCATCAAGCTAGGATGACCTGAGTTACAGGCAAAGTAATAAAGATCTTTTAAAGTTTTCCTAACACTGAACAAATCCAGGATTTCAAAAGCTGGTACAAATTTTCTAGATAAAAGTAATATTTGGGAAGACAATGCAATGAAAAAAAAAATCTGCAGAGTGCACTTTTGTTAGTTTGATAACTTGTTTAAAAAGTAAACTCTTGCTCGGTTTGCCATGCCCCTCCCTGCTCCCCCCTCCTAAATCTTTAACCCAGAACATGGAGCAAACTGCAGAGCTCTGGAAAGGCTCGGCTCGGTCATGCTGGTGCATGCACCTGCTGTAAAAGATTTGAGGGGGCTGTGGGTACCTGGTGCCTGCCCTGCAGCCAGCGGGCAGGGCGTGGGGCTGCTGCCTGGAGTGCGCCTGATCAGGGTCATATGACACGGCGAAGATGGCTGACGCGGAGAAATGCACTGCTGCTGCTGCGGGAAGGCAAGAAGACTTTGAGATCATTGACAAAAACCAGATTCCTAGTGCAACCGAGCTGAAGAACGAGGAAAAAGAGAAAGCGGCAGAAGAAGCGAGGTGGTCTGCTCCGATCTTGTCGCTGGCTAAGAAAGCCTCGGAGAACTTAGCGCTGAGCTATGGCAACGCTCTGAAGTCTGCAGCTTTGGTAGGATTCATATCCAAACCAGTCAGCAATGACAACACAGCAAAAACAAGTATGGTTATGTTTATTTAGTACCCTTGCTTTTATGCTGCGCAAATAAGTTAGCTCCCGTAAGTGGCGTTTCTTAGGGAGTGATGCGTTGTTGTTACTTGGAGTTTGTTGTTAAAAATCTGATGCTGCAGTTTTTTATTTAAGGGAAATTATACAAACAACGTAGGTGTGGGACTAACGAAGTATATTACAACCAAAAGAATCCTAAACTGTTAATATGTTTGGGAAAGCTGACTTTATTTTTTGTGCGGTGGGCTTTTATTAATTCTATTTCTCCCTCTCCCTCTACGTTCTGCTCAGCAGCAGCCTGCCTGTGCTAGGAAGGATTGGCTGGATCACTTGCTCTGGGGGCTGGCTCAGGGAGGGAATCAGGCTGATACTTCTTGCACAGCTTTCATGTCAGAGAGTGGACAATTGGACTAGGAAACAGATTTGTTATAAATTAACTATGCTAAAAATAGCTTTACTTAGTTACAGCTTGCTTTACTGAACATCTGTATTCATCAGCACCGTAACCATATGGATTTATGGAACAGATTTCTTAAAATGGAATTAAGAAGGCTTTAGTGGGATCCTTACAGAAATTAGAGCTCAGTAATACTTAGAGCGTGGAAACAAAACCATTCGGATGTAGGAATGGGATGTGTTAGTCTTGTATTCCAGGCTAGTTCTTGATGGTTTTGGAGCAGTGGAACTCAGTTATGCTAACTGGTTCAGGCCTTCTTGCTTTCAGTATTAAGTATTCAAGCTGCATTTCTCTGGGGATGAATCGTAACTACATGGTGGAATAAATCATTGTTGATGGACTTTTTTTTTATGAAAATACTTCAGTGGATGTAGTTAGAGTTCAAGATTAATCATGTCCTGAAAAAAATAGCTTCTTATCTTTTCCTGCACTACAGTCTCACAGCAAACCTGGATGCCCATCTTGAGCAGCTGGGATTTAATCTGAGGCAGAATATCTCATTACCTTCAGCTGCGTTTGAAATAATGCTCTGAATAGACGTAATTCAACACAATGGTGTTTGGTGAGGAGTTGAGAAAACAATATTCTCCTTCCTGAAGTGAAGCTCCCAAACCTAATGAGACTTTTACCACAACCTTTCACCCTCCTGTCTCTGAAGTAAGGGAATACAGTGCTACCTTCCCAAATTGTTCAAAGCATTTTGATAACATGTTGATGATTTATGGAAAATTCCAGAAGAAAAACTTGTTCATAACTTAGGTGATTTAGTGTCTGTTCACATTACATCTATTCAGCCCTCCTGTATAAAGAGCTTTCCTATCAACTTTGACCAAGCACTATACATATTCAATTTAAAGCTTGTATTTTTAAATAATATGTGGTCTGCCACATATGTGGTCTACTTGTGGAACACTAGATAAAGAAGGCAGCAGGGATCAAGCTTTATTTATAACCTCTACCTCCTATTTCAGATCTGTTGATCCCATGTAAATACTGCTGCACACTATGTACTCAGCTGGACAGATAGGGGAAGATACATCATAAACCCATTTTCTGTATTTGATGAAACTATCCTGCCTGGCTGGGAAGGCAGGAGCTACAAATCTAAAGAATATGAGTCAAGAAAGACTGCGTGTCTTAAAGACCAAAAGATGGAGAACTGTCAGCTTTTCTTCAGGCTTCAGTTATTTTCAAGGTGCGCTAAATAGCGGACAGTAAACAAGGCATGGGGCTTCAAAATGATGATAAAAAATAAGTTGATTAAGAGGCCGTCTGATAATGCTTTGAAAAAGATTGCAGCATATGTCTGGGATCTTTTGCACTTGCGTAACTCAATTTCTCATCTTTGAGGTTTGACTTTCATAATCTGTCTAATACCTGGATACTTTGCATGTATCTACTAGTACGTAGTTTTGCAAAAGGTGTATTTGACTGTGTAAATTTGCAACAGTCAAAATAATTGTTCAAATTATTATTTAAACTTCTTACAAAATTTTAAGAGGACACTACTTAACTGAAGTTTGTGTTCATAATATTCTTTATGAACACAAACTTCAGTTAAGTAGTGTCCTCTTAAAATATATTAAGAGTTTAAGTTTGTGTCCATACACATTATTTTATTATTTTTTTTAAGTCTTGTGGGCAATATAATACGTGTACCTCTTGAGCAAGTCTTACAAGCCAAACAATCCTGATAAGTTCAAGTACAGGAAACGCCCAAAATAACTTGATGAGTTGCTACTGAATACTTCAACAAATATTTCTAGTCAGGTTTTCTTTCTGTTTTTAATGTATAACTTGACAATGCTGAAGTCAAAATTCAAAATACTATAGCCCTTAAAATCCTCAGTCTCATCTCAGATGCTATAAGCAATTTTGAGGCATCCACTACATTGACTGACGATATTAATATGAGACAGGCTACTGGGAAGACAAGAGCTTGTGTGCTCCGTTATTGAAATTAATTTGATTAAAATAGCTGTTTTCACTCTTCTCATAGGGAAAATTTTTGCTTAATCTTATTTCTAGATAACCATCCTGTGCGGAAGAAGGTAATGATGAAAATTAGTACCTGGATAGACTTTTGCATGGTGTTAGTAATAGTTTTAACAACCTTGCATGGGATTAACACAGGGGGTCTACCTGTTGCACTTGGTCTTCTGTACCTGCTGTTTCTGTGGGCAGCGTGGCCCCATTTGATGCACAGACATCAGGAATCTCCTAACGCAATGTCCCTGCCTCAGAAAGTCACTTAGGTGTAGTGGTGGCAGCATCTGTCAGCACCTGTGTGAAGATAAAGTGCTAGCTGGCAGCCTGCCTTTTTTTTTTTTCTTTTTTTTTTTTTTCGTGGCTTGTTTTGTTTCTTACCCCTCGTTCGGGAGGAGCACACCTCTTCCCCAGCACGAGGGGAGCCTCGGAGCAGGGCACCGAGGCCCCTGAAGGCTGCGGGACCTGGAGCCGCAGCTCCCCGAGGCGCCGAGGCCGCCAGGCGGGGGAGCTGGAGGCGGCGCGGAGCGGCCCCGGCTCCACAAAATGGCGGCGGCCGCGCGAGCACCGCGAGAGGCGCGGGGAGGGAGGCGGGGTTGCCGTGGTAACGCAGGAGCCATGGGGCCCGGCCTCGGGGGCAGCCCCTACCCCGCAGGTAGGGCCGGGGGCGGCAGGGTTAGGGATGGTGGATGCTTTCCCGGTGCTGGGGCTCCCCAAGCCGCTGTGGTTCTCTCTCCTCGGTTCTGGAGCTCCGCGGTCAGTGCGGTGAGGGGGGGGCTCCCCAGCGCCTCCGCTCACCTCAGCAAGATGGAGGCTGCGATGAGGAGACGGCGCTCTCCACAGCGCCGGGAGGGAGCAGGAGGAGCGTGTTGCTGAAAATAATAATAATAATAATAAATAAATAAAAATAAGAAACGCTTTTCTTTCTTCACCCTTGTCCCCGCCGCCCAGGTGTGCGATACCACGCCATGGAGGAGCGCGCCAACCTGATGAACATGATGAAGCTCAGTATCAAAACCCTCATCCAGTCGGCCCTGAGCCTGGGCCGCACGCTGGACTCGGACTTCCCTCCCTTGCAGCAGTTCTTCGTGGTGCTGGAGCACTGCCTCAAACATGGCCTAAAAGGTGGGCGCCCGCTCCCTGCGGCTGGGCCGCCGCGCTGAGGAGAGGCAGATAACGGGGTCGATGTCGTGTCTCCGGTGTGACTTCTTGTGTTGTTAACATCAGTTGCATACGGTGAATGGTTCTAGGCAGCCTTCCCCATTATAAGTGTGTTTTTATCCTCAGATATAAGCCATGCCTCCTAAACTGTCATTTTTTTTTTTAATGCCCCATTTCTCTTGGTGTATTAGGAGCTGGTAAGGTGAAGTAAAATGTGGAAGGTTGGAGGTGGAAGCCTGTCAGTTCTCATCACAAACTTCTCTGTATACTCCCGTAGTGAAGAAGACCTTTATTGGGCAGAACAAATCTTTCTTTGGTCCTTTGGAACTTGTGGAAAAACTGTGTCCTGAAGCATCAGATATAGCGACTAGTGTTAAAAATCTGCCAGAGTTGAAGTAAGTTGTTTGTTGGGGAATATGTTTTTCACTTATACTGCTGGGTAAAATAATCCTTTTGGTAGTTTCTTGCATTGGGTAGTCTCTTGCATTCAGTAATGAGATCTCTTTCCCAAAGAGAAAAATAGGGTATTTGGCTTTGATTTCTCCAAGAAATAAGGAGGCCATCTCAAAATATTCAGTGCTTCTGATTCAAACAATATTGTCCAATTAAAAACAGTATGTGGAAATTTCTGTGAGCTTGCTAAAAATAGCTGTAGTCTTCACCTATTTTTTTCCTCTTGTTTCCATCACTTTTATGGTTTTGTCTAACATTCTGCATGTTTGTATTTCGTTTAGATAATTTGGTATAATGAAGGGACTAGTGTTATGTTAAGAATGCATGAACAGCTGGGTTGTTGTGCTAGTTGAAAATATGTAGATCTTTCCAGTTTATGCAGGTTTTACAACGTACTTTCCCTTCATGGAAGTAATGGGATGTACTCAAATGTTCCTCTGTTCTGGAGACGTTTTATTTCCCCTGGGATTTATTTATTTATTTATTTATTTATTAGTAAATAACTACCTTTGTCTCCCTTCATAAGGAGAGGATTTTGAATTGCACAGGTGTGCTTAAACTTTTTGTTTTTACCAAAACATGCAGTGTTTTATTTTAGGACTGCTGTGGGAAGAGGAAGGGCTTGGCTTTACCTGGCACTCATGCAAAAGAAGTTGGCAGATTATCTCAAAGTGCTCTTGGACCACAAGCATCTATTAAGGTAACAGTACAGACACAAGTACGTTGTATTCACTGAATGTACTTGGACTGCTGTAGTAGGAGGTCATTAATTGACCAGTTGAATTTTAAACTTCTTCTTGCAACCTGCAGAGGAGGAAGTTGTTCGTTGCTTTTGCAGTGAACCTACAGTCACAAGTATTTTCTGTGAACGTTCGGCATCTTCTGCCTTGCACAGTAAATTAGTAAGGGACTGATTAGCTGAGCTTTATAAGGACTACATTACTATTTAAATTTATTTCAGTGATAGAAGTACCATTAAAATTACAATGTGCGGTGATGCAATTATAATATTTCTTTTAGTGAATTTTACGAGCCTGATGCGTTAATGATGGAGGAGGAAGGAGCAGTCATTGTGGGTCTGTTAGTTGGACTGAACGTTATTGATGCAAACCTTTGCTTGAAAGGAGAAGACTTGGATTCCCAGGTGAATATTGTGTTTAAATAAGATCAGTTCTTAAAAGACTCCTGTAGAATTAAGCACATCCATAAATGTTTTACTGAGATGGGTCCAGAATTTCTAAATCTGTTATGCAGTGTTTGTCATTTTAAGTGGACATATGAATGCCGTATGAGAAATCAAATCTTAAATGAGCTGAGTTAATGACATGAGATACATTGTCGAGATCAGTCTGCTAAAAGTTCGTGTCAGGTTTCATTTTGGGAGTGGTAATAGTTTACTTTTGGTTTAGGGGTGGGGAATAACATCCCAGATGTCTGCTGCTTCAGTGAAACAGGCCAGGAGTTTAAGGAATGCTTTGAGATATTCATGGCCCAAGTAAATGAATGGCATTTTTGTTTAATTTAATGTTACATTGATCTCTGCATAAGTTACTGTGTCTTGTAATTCAATACTATGTCCTGTTTCAGCCGATCTGTTTTATTTTTAAATTAGATAAACTTTGACAAAATGGGTCAGTAGCATTTCAGGAGTCTAACCCTCTTTCTGTGCTAGAAATTAAAAGTGTATGTGGCTGTAATTTAATTCTTAGTAACCTTTTTCTTCTTTAAGAGAGACTGTTGCAGAAGATGTTGAAATTATGTTGCCTGTTCTACAAACCTTGAACATGGCTAGCTGTTAATCTCTTTAACAAAATCAGAGAATTACTTCAGTGGCAGGTCCCTGCAAGAAGATAGTGTGTTTGTTTGTAGAAAGTCTGATTTAAGGTGTTTTATTTTCATTTGGTAGGTGAAGACAGGAATGTCCTGTTTAGAGGCTCATCACATTTCTCACACTGACAAGTACATAACAATCCAACACTTCCAGTAGCAGTTTATAGAAATGCTGTCAAAACTAATAACTCCTGGGAAACCGAGCACACTGAATATAGTCATTTTGATGTTTTTATGACAAACACTGGCTTGCAAGTTTGTTTCAGTTGTGAAGAGCATAGGTTTTATCTGTCTTCCTAAATCTAAACTTTAGATTTTTACTTTTTTCCAAATATAATGTTGGCTGCTACTCAAGAATTGCACTGTGAAAGTGTGTTAACTTATTTAATATGTTTTTCAGGTTGGAGTGATTGATTTTTCCTTGTACCTGAAGGAAACGCAGGACAGTGATAGCAAACAGTATGTATTAAGTTTTTCGAAGAACAAAGCTGTCAGATCTGTGGGAACATATCAGTGCTAGAGGTCTCAAAGTCTTCTAGTAATTCAAAAAACAGAATCCTAAATAGATTTGTTTACTAAATAAAAACACAGTAAAGGTTGAGGCCATGGCAGTTTTAACAATACATGTGGGGAGTCTGTCCCAAGCCAGGACCAAATTAAGAGCCCACAATTTTAGGTAGTGTATTTCTTGATTTTTAGGAGATGTGATCTTCCTAGGCACCTTTTGTTTCTTCCTTTTGCCTCTAAAATCATAATGCTATTCTTGTACTTTGCTGATCTTTGGGACAAAAAAGTCATCTTACTGCTTCCCAGTCCAGCTCAAACACAAGTATTTTTAGAAGAAAAAGAAAAGGTTTGCAAAACTATGCTGAAAATCCTAGTACAAATTAACACTTTCAAATAAAAAGAATTATATTCTCAAATAATACATTTTCACTTTACAATTAGAGATGGAGGGATCACTGCTGTTCTTGACCAGAAGCATTATGTAGAAGAACTTAACCGGCATCTAAGGTAGGAGTTTCATCTATTCTAATGCATAAACACTCAATTTTCCATTACATTAAATGTCTTTGCCGTCAGTCTTGTAGATTCTTGTCTGATAATGAAACGCCTTTTCTGATTCTTTGCCGAAGACTTGCTTTCATTTTGTAATCTTACTCTTCTGAGGGCAAACATAACACAAAAACAAGTCTGTGTAACCGTGTTAGTTAACCATGTAACAAGTTAACCGTGCTGAGGCTTTCTAATGGTAAACAGGAGATTTTGTAGATGAATTTGTGATAGAAGCATCTCGAGATTTGTTCTTTACATGGAGATGCATTCTGCTTACAAGAGAAAACAGTCTTTCCTCTGTTCTGTTTTTTGTGTGTTTTTTTTTTTTTTCCAGCTCACCGAAGTATTTCACTGTTAGCAAATACAAGTATGGTTGTGAATAAGAATAAGTGCTGAATGTTGACACTTAATGTATTGGTTTTTTTGCATTTTTCCTTACTGCAGTTGCACAGTTGCTGATCTCCAGAACAAAATAGACTGTTTAGAGAAGACTAATTCAAAGCTGCAGGAAGAGGTTTGTGTCTGGCTGTTAAATATTTCTTAGCTCTCTCCTGTTAGAGGTAAAACACCCGAAGAATTCATCATAGGCTTAAACTGTTTCAACTGATATTAGTGTAGTACAGAGGACTAGCAAGAGCTGGGACACGTGGCCAGCTCTGTGGAAAGGTTTTGTTATTTTAGTAATTAAAATGCTTTTGGATACCCACTTGTTGGACTGGTTTCCTTAATTGAGGTGTTTTTCTTGCAGGGATTTCTCCACCCCAAAATAATCATATCAGTAAGGAAAATGATTTGTCCCTCTTCTTTCTGCTCACACATTTATATATTTGTTGTGTGAGGAATAGAAGTCAAAAAAAAAAAAAAAAAATCCCAGTTCAACTTGGAAGCCATTCCTAGTTGGGAACTGAAATAAAAGCCAACAGCAGCACACATGATAAAGGCAGAGAGGGTTTCTCTTTGTTTGTTTTTAGGTGATGGTTGTTTTATGTTTTTCATTATTACATGCATTAGTTCTGACTGCATTAGTGTAGTCCAATTTCTAACACTCCTTTTGGGGCATCTCCACTTGAAACTGCCATAAGGCTCCAAAGGTGAATGTCAGCCCTGACTTGGCATGTGCCTTGTAATTCATACCAGAAGGAATACTACAGACCTCAAACCTGTGGTGGTTTTTAAGCCTTTTACACTATGATAAATTTCTTTGTACAGATAATATTCAAAAGTAATTGAGGGCATGAAGCAGAGGTCAAGTAATAAATGTTGGTGGACTTATTAATTGAGGCTGCATAGTGAGTGTGGCTGCAAAATGGTCAGGCAGTTTCTGGGAAGAATGAAAAGCTCAAGAGGGAGAGTGAGAACTAACTATCTTTAGAATTCATCCTGATGCTGCATGATTATACATTGATAAAAATATACATATGTTCTTTTCATAGCTGGCAGCAGCAACTGACCGAATTGGATCTCTTCAGGAAGAGCAGCAGCAGTTAAAACAACAAAATGAATTAATTCGTGAACGGAGTGAAAAAAGTGTAGAGGTAGGACAACGATTTAAAGATGGGGATCCTTAAAATAATCAAGCTCTCTTGTTCAACTGGAGTTAGTGCTCTTGAAAGAGCTTTGAACTGGAATGCTAAGTACCACTGTTTAGCACACTACTGTAAATCACTGATTATTATAATATGCACATATATTGGATTTTGCTGTTCTCTGCCAGAGACTTAAATATGTGTTTGCAGAAGGGAGACAGCAATAAAAGTGTTAGAATGGTTTCTTGTTATTTTTACTCTTCGAAATTTCAGTTTATTAATGTTGGCTAGATTTTAATCATAAAGTGGTAGGATTTTGCTTGAAGTAGCATGTTCTTTCTTGTGTGAAACTGTTTCTGAGGTACACTTAAATTGTATAGCTTTGTAGTCTTATGTGGCTTTTGCTAATGTTTCTTACAGGTAACAAAAGAGGATACAAAAGTAGAATTGGATACTTACAGGCAGTCTCGGCAGGGTCTTGATGAAATGTACAGTGATGTCTGGAAGCAGTTGAAAGAAGAAAAAAAGATAAGGCTGGTAAGGAAACTTAATTATAGAAAGGAAAATGAAAGATCCAGGACTGTGTGTATTAAAGTAGCATTACAAATATAAGATGTGTGCTGTGCACTTCTTGAAACTATTCAAAATTCATAATGGGTTTACAAGCAAGATGCTGGACATAGATCACTTACAGTGTCTGTAAAGAACTGGAAATCTGGGCTTTTGGAATGCTCAAAGTGAAAGGTCTTCCCCTATTTAAAAATGTACCGAGATTATTACAGAAGAGGCTAAGATAAAAAGAAAAAGAAATGTAACTGTGTTTATGGAGGAAAATATGGTACGTGGACAAGGGTCACTTCCACAGTGAACTGCCAGTTGGTGACTGGTAAAGAGGCTGACAAGGCTTGCTGTGTAGGTTTATGTGGGTTTTGGAAATACTTACCTGTGGCACGTGGCTACGTCATAGTAACTAGAAAATCTGTTTGTAAGGAACTAGAAAAAGAGTTGGAGCTACAGATCGGAATGAAAACAGAAATGGAAATTGCCATGAAACTTCTGGAAAAAGATACTCATGAAAAACAAGACACCCTGGTTGCGCTTCGGCAGCAGTTAGAAGAAGTGAAAGCTATTAACTTGCAGATGTTTCACAAATCTCAGGTACGTACGTAGTGGTGAACAGAAAGAGCAGCTGGAGTGGTGGCTTTTTCATGCTGATCATGCACAAGATGTGCAAATGCACTTACATGCATCTGAAGTAATAGATGCAGCAATTTTCTTAGGAATATCTATTTTAGAACTGTGAAAGCAATTGTTTATTTTTTTTTAATGTCTCATTGTTATGAGATTGGGGGTGTTTGGAAAGAAAGGGACTTTCCTCGAGAATGCTGTGTAGTGTGCCATAGGATATCCAGGAAATGCTGAGAGAGGAAAAGATGGAGAGCTCTCACAGGGAAGAAAGTGGTTTTAAGGGTCTTTGTTTTAGCCACTGAATGACTAGTCTTTAAAAAATGTAGTTACTTAATACAGCCAAGAACTGTTTTGCTTCTCCTTCCCATCTGTGTTGTCTTGCTTTTCACTTAACAGTTTATCATAGAAACCAATGACAAGCTTCTCTAAACCAATAGAAATTAAGTTATTTTCGTGTAATTTCTGGAGTCTGTATCCAAATGGTCAACTGAGTGCTGTAGCTAGTGAAAAGGCAATGCTGGATCTGAGACGGGGGGAGCTCTGTGGTCAGGACTGGTCATACACTTGTAGACTTTTCTACAAGGAAATAATGGAGTGGTAGTATATGCACAAAATATGCAGAGTTTGTGCCCATTAATGAAAGGGATTTAACTAGACTTCCCCTCCCATCTCTGGTGCCAGAAGTCCAAAGGTGACTTCTCTCCATTTTTATGGTCTGTTTCCTGATGTTTATTCAGGCTTTGTCCAGGCTTTTGCCTCCTTCACAGATGCATATAAATCTGCAGAGCAATGGCCAGTGAAGCCCCAGTGCTGAGGTATGCCTTTGCTTTGAAAAGCAGAATTTACTTGATGTAAAAAACACTTTTCTTGGCTTTCTAGTTCCACACCCCTTAAGTGCAGCTGTTTCATTCAGTGTAACAGTAACATAATCAGTATACTTACCCTTACAATATAATGTGACAGTTTTCTTCTTCAGACTCCTTAAAAGATTTCTGGCTTGTAGCTGATCTTGTGAGTCAGAGTTTAGTACACTAAAATGTTTTTCTGAACAAAGCAAATCGAGGAGTGTTTGCTCTGTCATTATCAGCATTTTGTTTGTGCATTCCATTTAGACGTAGGCACGGTTTGTAACAAGATAAACAGCCTTTATCTAGGGACTGACTTTCATTAAGGCCTAACGCTGTGCTTTCAAAAACTGCAATGTCTTACCTGCAGTGTCTGTTCACTTTATTCCTACAGAATGCAGAGAGTTCATTACAACAGAAAACAGAAGCAATATCTTCCTTTGAAGAAAAAACAAATGAGATGATGTCTTCTATGAAACAAATGGAAGAGAGGTAATTACAAGCTTAACACCACTCATGTCGATGGAAAGGTTTCAACTGAGACCTTTATAGAACGACCTTGTATTTCTCCATACAACGCTATCAGTTATGTCTTCTATAGATATTTGGGCATGCATGCTAGCATGATGTTCTTTTTTTTCCTCCCCATTATCACTCTGTCATTATCTATTCCCTTTTCCCAGGCAAACATGCACATAGTTGACTCATTTGAAAATCATAGCTCTTTTCAGAGCAGACTGTTTAAAAACGTGTTGACATTAGATAAGGAACAGCTATGACTCCTCATTTTGTGTTTTGCAGAAACTGTTGTTTTCAAAAACTCAGTTGTTCTCTAGTATCATCAGGTTTAGCTTTCTGTAAAGGCGTATATGGTAAATATAAAGGAACAAAATGACAGCAAATAGATACGGAATATGTGAATTAACAGCAAATGTACATGTTCCTTACTTTGCAGATTGCAGCACGCAGAAAAAGCAAGGCAAGCTGCAGAAGAAAGATGCAACAAGATGAAGCAAGAGCTTGCTGGCAGGCTTGACACTTGTCGGCAACAGATGTCCCAGCTGGACAGCAAATGGTATTTCATCAGTGTTTGTTTTTCCCCTCCTACCATTTCCTTAAGATGTGCTATCCTTAAGTGCCATAGGATATTTTCTGCTGTAGGCTTTCTCAGAATCGATTATTTTTAAATAGCTCAACTCTGGAAAAGGAGTTAAAATCTGAAAAGGAACAGAGACAAACTTTGCAAAGAGAACTACACCAAGAGAAGGATGCTACCTCTCTGCTTAAAACAGAATTGGAACAAATGGAAGGACTGAAAAAGGTATGCATAGTGCAAATGTGCCCAGTGTCCAGAATTAAAGCTGACTTGAAATGAATGCAATGCTTGCATCTGTAGCAGATTTGTTGTTTCTGTACCATGCTCATCCTCTGAGTGGTTTAAAAAGCTTGGCTGATGTAACAAGTCTGCACATGAAATGCCAAGGGGGACTTGGAGCAGTGCAGGACTCAGGCAATTAAAACAGCTTAACTAGAGATGGCTGAGGAGGTTGCCATCTGAGCTGCCTTAGCTATGAGTGCCTGAGCCACATACCAGTCAGCCAGATGAAGAAGGGGACAAAAACCTCAGCAGCTGCCCTATGGTGGGATAGCCCTGCTCATGTGGGAAATGGCAGGTTCAAAGCTTTCAGTGGCTCTGTAAGAAAAAGAACATGTTTTCAAACATTCAGAACAAATGAGATGTTTTGTTTTTAACATGAGAGTTCTTGTGAACCTAAAAAGAACATACTTCTGTGTATCTAGCAGTTTAGACTTCGAAGGCACAATTGCACGTCAGTATCTGTCTATATGCTTGTGGTTGGCATAGGACTGCTGCATTCTAGCTGTGTTCAAGGATGGTTAAAGCCTGAAAATCTTCCTCTGTCTCTGGTAAAGATGATTAAATGACTTCATTGTAGGCTGAACAAGAACCCATGGGTAGTTCATGTAATGCTAAAATAAAGCCTTAGAAGTAGGTAGCTTTGTAAAGGAACTCATGCTTGTGAGATGCTTGGGTATTTTGGGTAGAAGATGTTATGGATCAGACTTGGCACGCAAACTTGATTTTGTACTTAATTTTACAGGAACTGAGAAAACTGCAAGATGAGAAGCAGCAGTTAGAGAAAGTCTGTGAAGAACAGGAGCAAGCTCTTCAGGAAATGGGACTTCATCTCAGCCAGTAAGTTCTAAGAGTCAAACTACTGGAAGTGATGTGACTTGGGGGATAGTGTATGAAATTAATACAAATAATTCTAAAGCACATCCAGTTATATGTGAGAATTCTAGGAGGAAATTACTATGCACAGGGAAGCCATAAGATAAAGGTGAGGGAAGATCCTTGCATGAGTAAGCTGGCTGAGATGGGAAACTACAGTAAATGGGAACCTACGGTTCTTAGCGTAGAACTCTGCTTTTTCCATATTGCTTCTGAATATACCAAAGAGGGGGGTTTACCCCAAGGTGACTGTTTCCTGATGATACTAAGTGGTTCAGAGCTGTAACGGTGAGCTGACTGAAAAAGAGTTTAGATTCAATGGTTAGACAGGGACATGGCAGGTAAAATTGAACACAACAATATGGAAAGTCATGCAGAGGGAGTAATTTCTTTTTTTTCTTCAGATCTAAGCTGAAGATGGAAGACATTAAAGAAGTAAATAAAGCATTAAAGGTACTGTGTATCACATGGATATTTTGGCTAAACATGCATTTCACTTAGAACTTCAGATTTCACCGCAGTTAACTCCTAATTCATTTTATCTTATGTTAAAAAGATGGCTTTTGAAAAGTACCAACAATTGGTTGGTGAACTGCTTCTGAACTTTATTTTATTTTTATCTGTACTGATGGCTTTGTTCCCATTTCATAGGGTCATACCTGGCTGAAGGATGATGAAGCAACGCACTGCAAGCAATGTGAAAAGGAATTCTCTATCTCAAGAAGAAAGGTAGTGCTGTTCAGGGGTTTCTTCTCCTTTTCTCTCAGAAAACAATGCGTGCTGTTGCCTAGTCTGCTAAGGAAAGCTGACACTGCTTCGGTTCCAGATCTTGTTCTCAGGAATTCTAGTTACCATACCAACCACAGCTTCCACAGCTGTGTGTTCTGCCTGGGCCTTTTCCTTGGCAGAGAGTTGGTGTGAGCTGTGTCCCCTAGAGTGTGGTTCATTTCAGTTCTCTGAACTGTACCTGAGGAGGACAGCAGCACTCTGACAGGCCGTGCTCGGTGCCTTTCAGGGACAGGGAACCTCCTGCAGGAAGAACCTGGCAGCACCAGAGCAGCCAGCGAGCACCAGCATGGTCCAGGGAGGCTGCACTGGGTACAGACCATGCTGCTCGATGCTGAGCTCTCTGCAGGAGGAAACTGCTGTGAGGGGTGGGCTGGGAACTGGAGGATGTCGAGTGGACTCTGAAGGCTTTTCTGAGCTTTATGTCCTCAGTATGCTTTTTATTTAGGCAGTTGTTCTTACTTTAGCTCTTTGTTTGTAGCATCACTGCAGGAACTGCGGGGACATCTTCTGCAACACGTGCTCCAGCAATGAACTTGCACTGCCATCGTATCCTAAACCTGTCCGTGTCTGTGATACGTGTCACACCTTACTACTTCAGCGGTGCTCATCTAATTCCTCCTAAGGCTCTGGTAACCTCTAAGGGACCACTTTAGCATTGGGAAAGTAGCCATTATTTTTTTAATTATGAATTCCAGGCACCTTCTGTGCAGCACTGTCTGCTCTCTAGTATTTTCCACTGTTGGATAGGTCAGTGTAAAAGAATGTAGGGCTTAATTATGCAAGTTAATATTTCTCCAACTGGAATTACTGAGAAAACTTATTGTGTAATTTCCATTATAGTTCTATTTGAAATTAAAATGCACACTCACTTTCCAATTTTTATAGACAAGGTATTTGTACTAAAATTTGTATATGGCATTTCTACAGTTACACCCAATCCCTGTAAAAGTTTATTCTGCACATTAATGTCACTTCCTCTGTGTTCAGTGTAGGTGTTCCTGTTTGTTATACTTGGCTACTGTACAGTTTTGTATTTGTGCTGAGGAATGTCCATTTATGAATTATCTATGGAAAGAGCTTTATCCGTGTTAATGAATGTGCCTTCAGTATACTTCCTAGTCAAAACCTGCAACTTAACACTTGTTCTGAAAGTGGCTGTGAACACAGTATGGTAGCTGCACAATAAAGCCTTTTGCAAAAACTGAAAGTGAAGTTCTGATTTCTAAAAGCCGAGAGGGTCATGGCTCCTGGAAGAGAGGGTTCTTGTGCTGAGGTCAAAGGCTTAAAATATAGAGACTGAAACAGCTCTAGACTTGACCAACAGCTCCAGGCATGCTTTGATACAGTATTCCCCTTGGACAGGCTCCATAGAGCCAACCCTGAGGAAATAACTGCTGTACCACCTTGAGAGGAAGGGAGCCCAGCATGCTGTGACATCTACCTGCAGGCTGCTGTTCAGATTGACTGCCTTCACAGGAGCAAGTATGGTGCTGCCTTCCTGCACACTTAATTAAAACTGTAATTAGTTACACACACACAGAAATAGCTACTGCATCATGTGAGAAGAGTAGCATCAGCTAGTAGTAGTCTTACCCTGCTTATAAACCACATCTTTAAGCACAGTTTGACCAACTGAATTTATTGAAACACAGCTGCACTAAGCTTTAGCATCCATTGATCCAGCACCTTGGCTCCAAAGAACAGAATCACCTCCCAGCCACCTCCCAGCCCCCAGTGCAGCTTTAAAACCACATCAAACAGGTAAGGTTGCAGAAGCTTGGCCACATCACAGCCTTGTGGCATCCTGAAGCCCCTTGGTGGCAGTCCAGCACCCACAGCAGTAGGTGGCAGGTTTCTTTCCTAAGCCCACTTCTGGCTGAGAAACAATTGTCACTTTAATATCCCACAAGGTCAGCCTTCACATGGTAATTGCAGTTAGAAGTAGTGTCAATAGTTGATGGCAGATGGATGTTAAGAGTACTGTGAGCACTGGCACCACAGAAGCACAGTCACACTTCTGCATCTATCTATACCACAGAAGCTGAAGTTCAAGAAGAAATGAGTTCCAGTTTTTAAAAGGAAGATTTATTTAACAAGTTTCACTTAGCGCAATACACCTAAAAAGGAAATCACAATACAATGAAAGATTAAATCAAGGCCTCAGAATTTTATACGAACACCAAGACCAAAATCCTAAAGTAGCCGTATTGCGTCTCAACACGTTTCCCCCATTAACTTAAAAAAAAAGCTTTAACGTGCCTTACAGGATATTAAAAGAAATAAACTAGAACTAACATGCCAAATGTTCACTTTGAATTTCAGACACAGCTCCTATATTGTTTCTTTACAAAAAAGCATGTTTTTTTCAACATGTATTCAAAACAGTGTTGGATGTAATATGGTATAAGAGCAACATTTAACATAATTCAAACAGCTTTAACCTAAATACGCTTACTGCTTAAATACACTCCTACAACAAAACTAACTTGAGAAACGCTCAAAATTGTTTAACAGTTATAGTCTTTGCTCAACTTGGTTATTACATCCTAGATGAATGTTCATTTCTGTATGTTCAAAAAATACTGAACCTGAAAGGTTTTAAAATAACAATCCTGATTTCACTTACAGTAAAGCATAAATCACAAGCTTGTATTGCAAAACTGTTAAACTTAGTTTTTTGTTTTTTTGTTTTTTAAAAAAGATTTGACCAAAAGTCAGCAATTGGTTACATTCCCCAGCCGCCACTCATGTTGGACATGTTTGACATTCCGCCCATGCCAGTTCACTCCCATGGACGCACGGTTCCCACTGCTGTAGTAACTGCTGTTCATGGCGCCCTGACTGCCCGGGTCTAGGGAACAAAGAACAAGAGGTGAGCAGCCCGTTCACATGTACCTGAAGGATAATCCCTTTTGTTCCTGGGCCTCCTTGTAAATACTTTCTGCTTTGCCCAGTACTGTGAATTGTCAAATTACAGCTCCGTATCCCAAGTCAGATGTGATATTTGTTCTACTTCCCAACTGTCTCTGGGGATTACCCATCCTCCCCCTCCCATGCACCCCCTGCCCACACACCTTTGTTGCAGTGCATTTATACCAGGTTAGTCTGCAGCATCCACTCTGGAAGTGAAGAAATGCTCAATGGAGGTCTGGAAATACATATTTCCTACCCATCTCTGAATAATTCAGCAGGCTTCCCCCTCTCCTCCCCCAGTAACAAATTCCTGCTTTGACTATTTCCCTCTACTACTCAGTCCCAGGGCTCACGCCACCCCATTTGTACAGTTACCCTTCAACTCCAAGACCTTATGACCTGCTAAGCCACAGAAAGCAGCCCACCTAAGAAACACCGAATAAATGCTCTTACCATATCCACTCATGCTGCTTTGGCCACCATATCCGCCTCCATAACCCCCACTCAACTGCTGGTTAGCTGGGCCACCATAACTGGATTGGCTTCCTTTTAAGTTAAGGATACAAACATTAAGTACCCGCCTATAGGTCAGCCTTCCCACTATTGACAATTCCACCCATTAACTAACTGCTCTGTTCTGGAGATGCTCACTCTCTAGCCTACTTAATCTTCTTCCAAAGGTAGCAAAGCTCAAAGCTTTGAACACCTTTTTAGAAGCTTTCCTAAATCAAACAGGAACTTCCAAGAACTACAGCAAGAGCTTGTGGTTCTCAAGTACAGCAGGATTTACTTTTGCACTTCCTATTGCCTGCCTATAGAGAACATCACCAATCTGCCTGTACAGTGCGCCCCCCAAGAGACTGAGTGTACCCAGCTTCCCACACCACCTGCCCATAGCAGCACCCACCCCTCTAGGAGGCAGGCCCCAACCTGAGGCCTCCTCCAGTTCCACACTGCTCATCCAGCACAGCTGTGCCGTGCCACAGAAGGCAGGAGGCCTCAAATACAGCTTACTAACCACAGCTCTTCCCCTATTACTTTACTCCCACAGAACCTTTCTGAAGTTAAAAACATCAGCACTACTTTAATCATTCTGTAATCAAAACATCACAAAAGCAGTAGGATGCCCACACGCATACCGTACTTCCCACCTCCCCTCCCACCCTCAAAGAAACCCCAAAACACCAACCACCACCTTAAAGTCTAAGAAACCAGAAAGTAAGGTATCAGGAAGGGTATCTGCTTTAGAGACAAGCCACTCAAGACTTGTGCTGCCAATGCACATTTTAGACTCTGAAGCAGTTCTGGAGTTCACTAGAGCAATTCACTTTCCCCAAATTTGAAAAAGGTTTTCCTGAACCAAGACCACGCTTGAATGGCAGATGACAACAGATACACCTTCCATCACCAAACTGTATTTGTGTCTCAAAATAAAAAAAAAAGGGGGGGGGAGGGAAGATGGGGTAAATAGGACAGTTATTTCCCATTACACCGCGCTCCCAGGAGCCACCCATCCCATCACACACACTCACATTCAGCATCACAGTTTATTCAACCTATTAATTAGTTGAAATGTATTCCCAAAAGGTTTATATACCTGGCAATGTGCTAGTGTTCCAATCTTGAACTACCCCTTCCGATTCCTTGACTGTGTGATTAAGACAGAATGTTGAATTTCAGTTTTTATGCCAGGCATAGAATAAGCAGGAGCTGTACCAAATTAGCCAGCTTCGTTAAACATGAAGTGCTTTTTAAGAAGTGCAGTTAGACATACCCATTGCTCCCATCATTTGGCTGCCATAGGCACCACCACTTCCTCCTGCTGTAGAATTCAAGAAGAGTTCTACGTATCTGTGTTCTGGAAGAAAAAAATAGTTTGCATGAGAGCATTTCACACCAAACTCACTGCAAGGCTGCAACGGAACGCCTGGCATTCCGCTTGCAGCAGACACAGCACGATCCAGTCCTGCGGTTTTGTGGAGCCACGACTCCAACAGCCGTACTTACGCATATTCGCTTTGTCTTTGGACATAGCGGCCACTGCGTCCTCATGAGTAGCGAATTCAACGTCTGCCTCTCCAGTCACTCTGCCATCTGGTCCAATTTCAATGTGTACTCTTACAGGGTTCAGAGGTGAGAAGAACTACATGCAAAACATTGAGAGATTAAAACGCACCAATATAGCGCAATTCGGTTCTACAGCAAGTTGTTCTCTCAAAAGGAACACTTGCTAAGAGCAGCACAGTTAACACTTCCAGCAATGATCACAGCACATTAAGCTGAGTAAGGTAAGAGAACGGCAGATCTGGAACTCACGTTGTAGATGTCGTTCTCCGTCGCTCTGTAAGGCAGACCTCTCATGTGGACACAGTGGCCGGTCGTGCTCTGGAAGGTGGACGTCCCGTCGCCGTACCTGTGGTCCGACATTCCTGCAGAGAAGAGAGTCCATTCTAGGTCTTTCAGATGTATTTAAGTTTCTGTTCTAGATGTATTGAAAGTTAGTTAGTATTCCTATTAGAGATCCCTTACCTCTTCCAAATCTATCAGAACCAAAGCCATAGCCATCGTTATACCCATTGTAGTCATCGTAACCTCCGTAACCTATGAATAGATCAGACAACACATTTATTCCAACTACAGAAAGATCCACAGGTACATATAAACAAATGGCACAGAACAGATCAGCAAGCTCCATTTCTTACAGAAGAAATAAAGCCAAGCACATCTACCAACCGGCAGTTACAGAGCACAAAGACGATCGCTCCAAGTGGTGCTGCTTCTCAGCTGAGCAGCTCCCTCTTGGACTTCATAGACTTACCTCCTCCGTAAGCTCCACGCCTCATTCTTTCCAAGCCACTTCCTCTACCAAGACTGTTGTATCCCCGCGTCAGACCAGGCCTGTCGTAAGGACCTGGTCTCTGCATTGCCATCAGCTTGCGTGGAGGGTCATAGTGAGTGCGCACTTCTGCTCGGCTGCTCTTGAAGATCTCAATGTACCTAAAATGTGTTTCCACAGGGAGTAGTCAGTCGTAAATTCCTTCCACAAAAGGACCTCACAATTTTACATTTTTACAAGACATTTAGTCATAGCCTTGAAACTGGCAGTAGATTTTAAGCCAGATTTCTTTACATTATGTAGGCAATGACGTACTACTAAAACCACTACTTTACTTTCAAATTAGTGTATTTTCAAGAAATTACGATTACTGAAGGGTTTACATGCTCCTCATACATCACAGTATCCCAGCCTTAAGGGTGGGGGAGCAAGACTGATTTCCCCACCCCCCTCCCCCAAATTTAAGGTGTTAGTCAAAAAATGTAGGAGGGACCAACGTCCACTCAACTCAGCACTGTTTTGCTCATGTGGCAACATAAACAGAGGGTTAAAAACCCAGCCTCCACCAAGATTTTAACCCATCAGGATGCTACAAAAAGCTCTGCATGTGCTAATGAACCCAGCCTATGCTTCAGTGATTCAGCGTAGGCAAGAAGTGCATGCTTCAATGAAAAATAGTCACAAGTAAAATAGAATAAAAACCCTTTGTGACAATTTCTTGAAAGCTATGCTTATTACATTGAAGATTAATAAATACAGTAAGAAAATTTGTTACATTTCAACTTATATAAAACAAGTTTAGAAATTATCACATTTTCTTATGGTAATAAGAGTACTGTGCATGTCTTTAGAGCTAAAGTCGTAATTGGTGCTATTTGAGAAGTTAAAGCCATAGTCTCTCAACTTTGTTGCTTTCAAGCTATCAGTTTTGCACTCCTCCAGTATTGTCGTGTTTTCAAAGCATGGTTAAGCTTAGCCCAGTTTTCTCCTCAGTTTTGGATCAATTTAGACAGTGTGTCATATGTACAGTAGTAATACCTTTAACTTGTGACCATGTTTGAGACCAATATCCAAACAGAAATAGTATTTTTAACACTTTCAGAAGAGAGAATATGGATTTAATTGTTTACCATAAGAAAAGTGACATATCCAACCAACCATCCATCCCCACCTGTGCCCTATTCTTTCCTTGTGTTTCTTTAGAGCCTTTTCAGCTATTTCCTGTGAAGCAAACTGCACGAAGGCCTCCCCCGTACTCCTCCCCTGGAAGTCCACCGGCAATGTTATCCCATTTGGCACGATTTCCAACCCTTCAACCCAAGGACAAATAACCCCAGTAGGGGGCAATATTAACATCACAAGCCCAGTCATGAGTTTTTCTTATAGCTTTAAATACACCAGAATTTTAATATTTGTAAGAGAATGGTATGCTGATTCTAGAACACTAGAAGAAAAAGCATGTCAACAGAAGAAATCCATGATTGCATACCATTCAGATTACATTCTTAACCCACCCTGCAGAGCACAGCCAAGTTCTGAGTGTCAAGTACAACCCCTCAGATAGGGCATCTAATGCAGGGTGCATTAAGAAGTTTACAACTATTTAAAACCTCTTCAATTCCGTGAAAGTATTTAAGATGAATTTTCAAATGTAACAGATTCAAACAGAGCAAGTTAAACAACTTCACATTTAACAAGTATTTTTTACTAGAAGTCAGGTTAAATAGTCTTATGCAAATATTAAGTTTCAGTATTATTTTTATCGTTAAATAAAAATAATGAATTTCAGAAGTATTAGCTTATGAACAGAAGAGGTACACTTCGTATATTAAGCAGAGTAACAGCATTTAAAGTTTATACCACTTAGCCACATTAAAAAAAAACAACTTAAAATGTACACGCTTTGGAATTGTTCTTGTTCAGATTATTATTGAGTCAGAATACACAAAAAACTTCTGAATTTGTAAAGCTAGCAATATATCTAAAAATTTAAAAACAATAAGCTTGATCATATCTAAAAGGCTTGTTAAGGCAAAACATTCTAGCCAATTTTAACAGAGTTATTACTTCAAAAATACTGACACGTTCAATCCTAGGTAAGTGAACAGATTTTATCCTTAGCATTTTTAATAGCATTCCAACTGCTAAAAATAAACATACAACAGCTGCAAGAAAGTGAGAATTAAGGGTCAACACAAGACATTATCTCTTCATCCATAAAGACTTTAAGCTATACTATATCAAGGGCCTTTTCCCCTGGGAAGTGGGGAGGGGGGGGTGAAAAAATCCATACTTGAGTAGAGTTCAGCAGGATGTTTTCCCCCTGGGGTATTACTCCCTGCTAAATGTTTAAAAAATCATGGGCACGTCATGGTCTTCCTCATCCTGCTCATTATACTGGGCCCAGTGCTAATGGCATTCTATATCCTTCAGAGAAAAAGAAAATAGCAGCGTGAACTAGCTAAGACTGGGTAGAAAGATCCTCTTACTTGGTCACTTATTAGAAAATGGGAAAAAAAGTTTTCTGCTTACTTACATTTATCCTTACTTGCAACAGTATGCCACACTAAGTGTGAATTAGGACAGGTTTTGGAGATTTCCTCGGTTATTTGTTAGGAGAGAACTTAAGAAATTGATCTCTTGAGCCCAGATAACTAATGGAGAAATACTTATTTGCTTTTATTACACATCACTGTACTGTTAAAATACTACCGGGCAGCGTGCTTTTGGGGGTTTGTGTGGTTTTAAAGTATAGACCAATAGTGCTACAGCTAGTACTTTTACCCCACATACCTGAAAAAAACTGTACAATTTCTTCTTTACTACAGCCAAATGGAAGTCCTCTAAGACGTACAAAACCATCATTAGCCGTATCAGGGCTGTTGGGACCAGTATGCTTCAGAACCCAATCCATTTCAACGTTGTTTGACTTGAAAACTGTAAAAGGCACTTAGAATTAATGCATTCTGAAACGTTCAACTATTTTAAAAGTCATTTGCCTTGAAACTAATCAAGTTATGATATTCAAGTCCATTTGTCCTTTCACATGCATTTTAAAGACAAAACAACAGTTAACAAAAAACCCATCAAGTACAAATACTTCTAGTCAGTTACTAGACCAAATCAAACCTTCAACATATCTGTGTCCCATGGTTTCTCTGTCCTTCTTCAGTGCCAGTTTCACATCCTCTTCTGATTCAAGCTCAGCAAATGCTTCTCCACTTGGTCTGCCCTCCCTTGTGTAGATGAAACGGATACCTAAAGCTCCATTTAGAATTTTGCAGTCTAAAGGAAAGAAACAGGAATTGATTTAATTTTTAGAGTAACATGATGGTTTTAGAAGTTTTAGATAACCTGAAAAGAAAAAAAATACTTAACTTCTGTAAGAAAGATAGTGTACTTGTAAAAAGTGTATTGGTCCTTGTCTGGAGGATAAGGGCCTGGCTAAAATGAACTTATCCTTCTCTTCTAGTCTACTATTAGGAAAATGTTAGGGATAAATACAAAACCAGCTATTTTTAAAGCTTTGCTGCATCAAGACAAGTTAAGTTGTTCTTTTGATAACAAGTGACTTAGGACTTTCTGATCAGCATGAAGCAAGACAAACAGTAAAAATCAAGCACAGGCATAATGAACTAAATCAGGACCAAATCCCTGAAATAGCAAACCTGTTACAGCAGCATCATGAATTAAATTGATTTAATTAAGCTTAAAACAAGAGTTCTGAGATTTTCCTTCAAACAGAAGCTTTTCTCTTCCACCTGCTCAAGAACAGAAGACAGTTGTGGCTGTTCCAGCAACACACAGCTGCAGCTACTTGTGTCCCACCTCTACTAACTGAAGCATGGCTGTCCACACTGCATTCTAGCTAGGGCACTTGATTCTTTACAAACTTCACTGGATACTGGAACTACCCCAGAACTTCTGTAACTGCTCACTGCAGTATCCCTGCTGCTATAGCTTCCCCTGAAAGAACCCCGAGGAGCCCCTGTCCCCAACCCCCCATTCCCTCAGTTCCACTTACCAGAGAAAAACCTCTGCACCTCCTCAGTGGAGCAGGACCAGGGCAGCCCCCTCACTTTCACCACATATCCCTCGCTGCTCTCCGTGTTCAGCATCACATTGGAGGTCAGGTTGGGCTCTGCCTCGGTCTCTGTGGTAGCTGGAGAAAACCAAAGCACGCTCTTTGAGACGCTGCAGGGCACGGCCATCTCCCAAACCCCCTCACAGAGTGCCCGGCGCCCCCCGGCCTGCCCGCCCCCGAGCCTCCTCTACCTCGGACCGCTGCCCGCCTCACACACACAGAGCCGCTCCCGCCCGGCGCACGCCTGGCCCACCCGCCCGGCCCGCGCCCAGCCCCCGTCCCCGCACGCACACATGGTGGGGCTCCGTGCTGGTTCTAGGGCTCCGAGCCTGATCCGCTGTCCGGAGAGCGCCTAGTCCCGGTCAGGCGGCAGCAAGCGGGCGAGCCTGTGGCGAGAGCGCGCTAGGAAATGGCGGCGGGTGCTCCCGCTTCCGCTGGGCCGGCCCTTCCGTCGCACCAAGCGCCCCCCGGCCCGTTCCCACGCGCCGCCCGGACAGCCCACAGCGGGGCGGTGCCGCGCTCCTGCCCGGCTCGGGGCTCAGGGCCCGGGGCTTTGGGGGGCGGCGGCTGCGGGCCCCGCGTTGTGCCTGGGGACGGGGCGCGGGGCGCATGCGCGCCGCCACCCGGAGGGCCTCTGCCCCCCCACTACCCCGCGGGCCCCTCCTGCGCATGCTCAGTAGCGCCACCGCGCCGGGCCGCGCACCCCTACGCACGCCTTCCCCGCGCCGCTCCCGCCAGGTTGCGCATGCGTCCTCGCTAGGCTACGCTTCCCCCCCTCCCCTGCCCCCACCCCGCCCGTCTGCCCCCCCGCCCCGCCCCGCCGGGGTGTGCGCATGCGTCGCCTGCCTCCTGCGCTGAACAAAGCCGAGGCGCTGCCTCCCGCGCCCAGCCGCCGCGCATGCGCCTGAGAGCGGCGTGAGGCGCGCGGCGCTTCCCGCCCCCCGCAGCCCCGGGCACGTCTGGCTGCACGAGAGGCGTGCGGGAAGCGGCACTTACCAGCTTCAAAGGCTGAGGCTACCCCGCGTGAAACAATCTGCTCGCTTCGGTCACTGAAGCCTGGTGTGTTTGTAGGAGATGGGGGGAAAGAAGAGACACGGGTCACAATCATCATAATGAAAAGGAACCTCGAACTCCCTCCCATCTCCTCCAAACACACCGGACCGAGCTCGGTCTCGCCCTGAACCTCCCTGGCACGGAGACGAGCAGGTACCGGGGGTAACCGGCAGCACAGCCTCTGGCAGCGGCACCCAGACGTGTTGGCCAAGCTTCCTCAACCCCCTTCCTTACACCACCGGGACCCAGCAGTTCATGCCTCAACCACCACCCACAGAGCACCCATGCCAGGAGTTAAAGCAGGCTCTGAAGCCCTGAACGTGCCAACGCTGCTGCTGGAATTGGAGCTGCGAGGCAGGGCTGCTCCCAGGGGCACCCACATGTATTTCATTCATGCATGCTTCCTTTCCAGTCAATAACAAAATTAACATACAGCTTTAGGTTGAGATGCTTCACTGACTGCGAATCTGCATTGCCTCTTATTTTCGTAAATACGTAAAACATTTAATTTATCGGATCACAATTCAGACTACAAAAAGCAGGCGGCTTTTTTGAAACAAAATGTTCTGGAATTGATGTCTGGAACACAAGCAACATGGGGAACTCTTCGAAATTGATGCAAATCGGACCAAGTCAAGCAGTAACTTCCTGAAGGAAGCCACTCTTAAATTTCCCTCGCTCAACACCCAATTCAAAAAAGCCCTGCAAGCAGAGGCTGGGCGGAGGCAGGAGTGGGGGGAGCGGGCAGAGGCTGCGCGGGAGGCAGCAGGAGGCAGCCCTCCCCTCCCGCCCACCGCTTGGCGGGAGACTTAAAGCGGGCAGGAGCAGCCGGCTGCCCCCAGTGCTCCACCATGTCCACCCCTGCCAAGCGGCGCTGCTGCGGCCCCAGCGGCTCCCTCGACTCCAGCTTCCAGAAGCGCCTCAAGAAGATTTCCATCGAGGGGAACATCGGTGAGCGTGGTGGTGGCGGAGGGGGGGGGGGGACGGGATGCCTCAGGACAGGGGAGCCCTGAGGGGATGTGGGGAAGGGGGGGAAGGGGAAATCCTCCTGCAGCCCCACTGACACAGCGGGATGGTGGCAAAGGCACCTTTGGGGGCCTGACAAAGGCACCAACCCCCGCGGGTGGCCTCCCGCTGCCACCCGGCCACGTCCCCACTCCCTTCAGGACTTCTGGCAATTGGCGCCATGGCAGGAGGCAGGACCCCGCCGTCCCCAGCAGCCTCCCTGCCCGAGGGCAGCCCGGTGGCCGTTACAGCGGGGACACGGAGCCCCGCTGACGAGGAACCACCGGGGACCGGGCACGGAGCCAGCGCTGCTCCCCCCCCCCCCCCCCCCTCCCGGCCCTTCCCTCCCGCGCACCCCGGCGGCTGCTGACGGGGCACCGGCCGCGCGCTCCCGCTCGCCTCAGAACCCCCCCCGCGCGTGCATGCGCCTCCACAGGGCAGACGCTCCGCGCATGCGCGCAGCCTCCCCGCTCTCCCGCGGCCCGCCAACAATGCGGCGCCAGCCCCGCCCCGCGGGCAGCCTGCTCCTAAAATGGCGGCTGCGGAGGGCCCGTCACGGGGACCTCCGCCTGGCGCCGCAGATAAGCGCCGTTTTCTCGGAAATCTGCCTCATTTCGCTCCCTCTGGTCCTGCTCCGAGCTGCAAGCACGCAGCTCGGCACCTGCCCGCTGCCAAAAGGCGGCCCGCAGCCTCCTACACCTCACAGCTGCCGCTGAGGGTCAGTCAAAAGACCACCCTTAATGCACGCCCTGAGTAAAACTTCACAAATCTTTTGCAGCTGCGGGGAAGTCGACGTTTGTCAGGCTACTTGAGAAACACAGCGATGAGTGGGAGATAATCCCTGAACCTATTGCCAAGTGGTGCAACATTCAGACAGCTGAGGATGAGTACGAGGTAGGTGCACCGCACTCGGGAAGCGTGAGATGGGCACAAAACTGAAGGGACTGGCCAAGGAACACGACAAGATTCACCTCATCAGACACTCAAACTGCTATAGCCACTTTGCAAGATGCCATTCAATGCATCTGCCAAATAGTCATCCCCTCACTCCACAGAAATCATTCTCAAAGCCTGTGAAAGACCTATTCTAAAAAAGCTGTCAAAGACAGCTTTTCAGTTTAGAAAAATCTTGTTTCTGTGCCGAAGTCACTTCCTTTTTAGGAAGGATCACCGACCAGAATTCTAGATTAAGGAAAGGGAATAAAAACCTGGAAATATACCAGGAATTAAGCCTTGTCCCCAAAATATACTTGTTATTAAGTCTTCTTTCTTGTCCCTCTAGGAGCTTTCAACATCTCAGAAGAATGGAGGAAATCTACTTAAAATGCTGTACGATAAACCCACAAGATGGGCTTACACTTTTCAGACTTATGCTTGCTTGAGCCGAGTAAGGGCACAATTAAAACCCGTCTCAGCCAAATTACATGAAGCAGAACATCCAGTGCAATTTTTTGAGAGATCTGTGTACAGTGACAGGTAATTACTCACACTGCAACCAGGTTAAGTTGTTCGATTTTGTCATTCCTAGCATGACACTTAATGCCTTTCCTTGCAGATACGTGTTTGCTTCTAACCTGTTTGAATCTGGGAACATCAACGAAACTGAGTGGACCATCTATCAGGACTGGCACACTTGGCTTTTGAATCAGTATGAACCTGATATAGAACTGGATGGCATCATCTACCTCAGAACCACACCGCAGGTACACCCAAGTATATCCATGACATACTGCAGTGACTAACACTACACTAGCATCTCATTCTTCAGAAGTTACAGGAAGCCTACAGTAACTTCACATTGGATTCAGAGATCAAACTGAACACCCTCCTTTCTGAGCTGCTATTCTGATGCCAGCAACACTGTAGTTAACTAACATCTACCACTCAGCTGAATGACTTTCTGCATAATGTTTCACTTCCAAATCACAGTATATGTGAAGAAAAACCTTTTATGTAAGAACTTTTTTCTTAGCCAAGGATTTAAGTGCTCCTTGTCTAATGCTTTTGACATGTAGTTTCATCATAAGGACTGTCAGTTGTCTGCTTAACACTGGCATACTGAACATCCCCATATTCAAGTATCTATCCAAAGTCACCCAGCAAAAAACACTCTAGTTACAGAATAACCTGCAGATACCCTCATGCATAATTGAACCTGTACTATTTGCCATTTTGTTTTTTTATCTGTTAAGTATTAATTCTTCTGATTTAAGGACCACCTAATCAATTTAGTTCATTTAGCCATTTAACACATTAATAATGTCCAGGCTTGCATTTTTTTCAGAAATGCATGGAAAGGCTGCAGATGAGGGGAAGAGAAGAGGAACAAGGAATTGAGCTCGAGTATTTGGAAAACCTCCACTATAAACATGAAACGTGGCTTTATGAAAGAACTCTGAGGTATGAACCCGTTTTCCCTATACTACCAAAATAGCTTTGATCTGTTACCATAAAAGCAGCAGAACACTGAAATCAAAAACTAGTGGCTTATTCAAGCTTCAGCTTACAGGCAAGGCTGTTTTCTACCTCATGCTGAAGTTGATTAGGGGTAAAACAGAATTAAGTTTAGCCTTACTCAGTAAGGAAGGACTTGCATGAAGCATTATCTCCAACTAAGAAGTTGCATAGATTTAGCTTTTCTCCAGCAAGGATTTCAGTTTGGTAATGAAGTACACAGGAATATTGCAGGGTTGAGACTGGATTCAGTGGGCAACCACGTAAGTTACCTACTAAGCAGCTTCCAGTTCCAGTGTAAGGGAAGGCAATGTCCCAGCTACCTTTAAACCAGGGTGATTGTGTTTCAACAGTTATCAGAAGGCTTTTGGTAGTTAGTATTATACACAAACTCCCCAGTCCATGACTAAGATCTCTGCATACCTCCCTCCTCACTTTCCTATTGACTCATTAGCTTTCCTCACTCAAGGATCTTCTGGATATGAATGCAAACTTCATATTCTCCCCTGCAAGAGCCTGAAATACTTTAGTGAATGGAAAGCAGCAGGTTAAACATTACTGACTGCACCACTTGACATTAGCATATATAACAAAAGAACATCGTTGAAGCATTCAGGATGTTCTTGATAGGCAAGCATGCCTTTTCAGCTGAAATGAAAGAACTCCTTCCAGCTGGAGTACTAACAGATTCAAAACAATTCCAGGAAAAGTATCTTAGATTGAACCTTGGTCACATCTGCTTTCCGAAGTAGAAATTTCATGTAGGATGACCCAAATGCTCGGGAGACAAACGCACTGCAGTATTGTGGCATTCTGGGAACATTTACATTGTGTACTCATTCCAAACTCATGAGCAAACATTTCCTGTATTTTTAATAGGAACACTCGGTCTGCAAAACAACGTCAGAATGCTGTTCAGCAAACTTACTGGACTTCAGAAAGGCTTTTCAGACATAGGAAGAGGAAAGATGCAGTGGTTTAGGAGAACTAGAAACAAAAGCACCTAGCTGCACAGCTACCGCTCTCTTCTGCACCTAGCCTGTGGCCAGAACTGTCTTATCTTGCAGCCATTTTAAATACCTTTCTTGTAACCTGTTGAAAGATGCCACCCCCATCCAAGGGTGCTGTAGAACTTCATCTTAGGACATGGATTAGCAGCTAACTACAATGGGTGCAGGGGGGGATGTAGGGCAAGAGGCATTTTCCAGGAAATACTGGTTGAAGTAGGATAAGTCATCAACATCCCAGGTGCATGGGATAATCTGAGCAGTGCTGCACCCCTAAGATGTCTCAGAAAGCAATTAGATCATGCTAGTAAAAATAGTATTAAGGACCGTGTGTAAAACAATTTTGCTCTCTCATAACAGAGTTGATTTTGAGAACCTTAAAGAAATCCCCGTTCTCGTTTTGGATGTTAATGAAGATTTTAAGAATGACAAGATTAAGCAGGAGTACCTAATTGATGAGGTAAGTAAAAACATTTCCTTGCATTTTCTTCTGCAGTAATAGCTCCAAATTACCAAATCGAAGTTCTTAAAATTCAACTACCAAACTGCAAATTTAGGAGTCATGCAGTAGTAGTTTAGGGCTTGTAGAATCAGTCTCTACCACAAAGGTGCAGGAGAGGCTTTTTCCTTTCCTCCATAAAAGGATTGAACCCCACAGTATTATCCTCAAGCTTGAAGCAGTTCACAGGAAAAAAAAAAAAACAGTATTTTTCAAGATGGGCAGGTGGGGGGGGGAACAGTGCACAGTAGCTGCACTGGAGTCAGACTGCTCTCTGCCAAGTCTGCACTGCCATGCGACTCATTAAATAGTTTACACAATAATACCATCCAATTCATGTCAGCCATGTTGTCTTTAGAAAAACCCTAGGCAGCTTAGAGCTATTTATGCTCCTTCGCATTCTAAGGATCTAGGCTCTTCCTGGACACCTCACAAATGCCGAGATCAGATGTAGTTCTAAATGCACGAAGTGAAACTCGTAAGTAGGGAAGGACGGCCATTAGAGGAAACAGTGAGAGGTCACGAGACAAAATGGTGTTTGCCAATTCTGTGGGAAGACAAAACTTGGGGTGGTGAATTCGCCAAATAAATCCTTCGTTTGTGTGTCCTGTCCACAGCAAGAAAAGTAACATGAAATACCCCATTCTTGGTCAAGAATTTATACTTCTACATCCAGTATTGGTCTCCCAAGTAATGGGGTTGGGGGCACGATGTTCAGTCAGGGTACTACAGGAGCATTTGCTGTGAAGTTTTATTTTCATGGAAACAAGCAAACAGCAGCTCTGAGTTATGAGCTGCTACCCACAGGTATTATCTTCCCTTTAACTTTGCTTCACTGAAAGGCCACCGCTGTTGTCTCCACTAAAACCCCTTCACCCAGCAGCATATCAGAAGCCAGCTCTACTTTCAGTTTAGGGTGGGGGCTAAAGGGTACAGTACTATGCTGGAACTGTCTGGAAATTAAGCCCAAGACCTGGTAGCAATTTCTTTTTAGGGAAAAGCTACTTAGTGAAGGCAAATCCATTTGCTTTAAAAAATAATATGCTGTAAAGCATTCCAAAAAGCTGCTGTTCTTAAGTACCTCCCATCTCGCTAATAAATTATTTAGGTTGCTTAATTCTACCTAGTAACAATACCGAAGTGCATTTCAGATCATGAATATGTACAGGCACAACAGTACTGGAGACCATACAGGAACAAATCCTTTGTTCCTAGGAAAGGGAAAACCCTAATAGGGTTTTTGTTGTTTCTTTTTAAAATGCATCAGATATAATACAGGCTTTGTTTTCACAGGTCAAATCTTTCCTGACTTCTTAAAGAAGATGAGAATTGAGAGGAACATCAACTGCTCGATATTCAACAGTTAAGCCAGTGTTCTAAGACAATTTAAACTAGATGAGGAATTATCCTATATAAAAAAAGTGGTTTTTTTACGTATATATCATGTATTACTTTTTGTCTGGACTGTGTGGTTTGGTAGAATTTACGGTATAGTTTAAAGGAACATGCGTGGGATGTTTTGGTAATGTATTTCGAGCATATTCTATACTGTTTAATAAAGATTTTGAACTAACGCAGGCTCAGAACCGACTTCAAGCACAGGGGAGTTAGCCGGTTATCAAGGGCCGACAACCCAGTAAATATAGATAGCAGGCGCTGGGGCCGGGTTGTTTTGCAATAACTGGCATAGTTCACCATTTTAAGACGAGACTGTTATGGCGTCCAGCAGCCTTACTTTCAACTTCTGCTTTACCGAGCAGCCGCTTTCAACCCTTTTACCCTAAACAACGGGCGGCACTGCAGTCGCGAGCGGTACACCTGGAACAAACTGCAGTTTAACGGCATTTCCCTTACGGACCCCCCCGGGAACCAACGGAACCCTCCCAACCCCCCCCAAACACCCCCACACCCCCCCCTTGCTTTTCCACGAACACGATCGCGGGCGGAATCCGCCGGGGGGGCACCTCAAAACCCCGATTTCCCCCCCTAGATCCTCATTCCTCCTCCCCGGTGGCTGCTCCCCCCCACTCCGCCACGCGGCCGGGAGGGGGTGAAGGGAAGGGGGCGGGGGGGGTGGACGGGGAGCGGCGCGCGCACGCCGGGCCCGCCCGCGCCCTGCCGCCCCCCGCCGCCAGCAGGCGCCAACGCGGGGGGGCCGCGGCCCCGGATCGGGCGGGCCCCGCCGCCCCTCCCCCCACCGCACGGCCGCCCCTCCCCCTCCTCCACACCGCCTGCTCGTCCCTTCCCTTCCCCTTCCTCCTCCTCCTCTTCCTCCTCCGCCCCCCCGCCGCTTACCCAGCCCGGGGATCTCTCCCTCGGTCTCCTCAGTGTGACAGGGATCCATCTCGGCCGCGCCTTCCCACTAAGGGCCGTGTGGAAAAAAAAATAAAAAAAAAAAAATACGAGAGCCGCTCTACGCCAAAAAAAAAAAAAATAATAATAAATCAGCGGGTGCCGAGAAGCCTCCGCGGAGGTGTGGGACCGGGCCCTGCCGCCTTTGTGGCGCTCCGCTCCCGCGGGGATGAGGCGCGATGCAGCCGCTGCCGGCCTGCCCGGGCCCGACCCGCCTGCTGGCTGCTTCTGCGCAGCGCCGCGCACCGCCCTTATATAGCCGCCGGCCGCGCTGCGCAGCGTCATGACGTCACGCGCCGCGCGAGCCCGCCCCCCCCGCCGCCCGCCAGCCAATGGCGGAGCGACAAATGAAAGCAGCCAGTCAGGGCCGGCCGCCTGCTGGGGGGGGGGACAAAATGGCGGACGGGGTGTGGGGAGGGGGGGGTGAGGGGAAAGGGGGGGGGGGGCAGCCCTGTAATGGCCGCCGCGGTGGTGGTGGCGGCGGCTGTGGGGGCTGCGGGTTCTGTGCGCTCCGTGCCTCGCCTCATGGCGCTGAGGGGGCCCCGTGAGCCCGCTCCGCCTCGTTGTCCGCACAAGCACAAAGATGGCGGCGGCTTTGTCCCTCACACAAACACAACGCACCGCCCGCCACGGCCCGGCCCCAGGCCTCGCTCGCTCGCTCGCTGCGGGCGGCGCCCTCACAGCGCTGGGCTCCGCCTCCCGCCGCCTCCTCTCCCCTCAGAGGGGGAGCGGGGAAGCGGGGGCTGCCCGCGGGGTCCCGGCCCGCCGACAGCCCCTGAGGCGGCGGGGAGGAGGGAGCGAGGCGCGGCCCTCCCGGGGGTGGAAGGCACGGCGCCGGGATGGCGTCGGCCGGGGCCTGGTGTGAGGGAAGGCCGCGGGAAGGCCGCTTTTTTGGCAAGCCTTCGCGTGGAAATGCCGGCGGTGGCGCTGGGAACGGCGCAGGCTGAAAGTCTGCCAAGGCCAAGCTGTCCGCGCCGTGCTTCCACAGCGGCTGTTTGGGTTTAAATGCGGGCAGGCTTATTTCTGGATCTCAAACCTGAGATCTCCACACAACCTGACGGAGAGATGCAAATTCCACACGCCCTGACAGAGAAACACAAACGGGGGCTCTCTCACATGTCCCCAGACCCCCGCAGTCCGTTTCCCCTACACGCAACCAGACCAATTCCTTCTGCTCAGTACTGTTACAAAGAACGCTTGGCTAAAACAACTTGGAGCTAAATAGCTGCAAAGGAGCCAGCGTGATGGAACAAATAAGTGGTGACCTTAGCACTGCGGAGGTGTGGCATCTCTTCACAACTTCGCTTCTGACCGAGTGGTTAATGTAAAGCGAATCCCTTTGCTAATCCCTGTTGAATCATTTGCATTTCTGACTGAGTTAATAATTTTTGTCTTCCTTTAATGAATATTAATAACCATAGAGTGGGGTACACTTACTAAGTGTTATTCTATTGCCCTGGTCTTTTTAGTCTCCATTACTGCATTTGAATAATGAAGGAAAACTGGTTCTGTTGTTTACACATCGTGATCCACGTGACTTCATAACTTTGAAGTAAGCAGCACTGCCTGATTTCTTGCACTCTAATTTTCGGTGATAAATAAAGCCTTGTTTGCCCTATACTTTCTCACCCTTTTATTTATTGAAGTAAAACAGCATTCTGACTAAAGGTTTCCCCTTGGAGGTCTCCTAGGAAATGGAAATTTTCCTGTGTTCACACTGGGAAGGAGTTCTGCTGCACTCATACTCCTCCAGCGTTAGAAATGTCATATGACTTTCTTGTAACTACATAATCGGTATTAAACACAGGCAAAATACTTGCCTGCCTTGGAAGCTGACGCATCCAGCAGGATGTTGGATACAGCCACTTCTAGGAGAAGAATGCAACTGTGAACAGCAGAACATACAGACAGGCAAGCAAAGACCTAAATGGTTATCAGAAGAGTTATAATTAGCCAATGTATATGTGGTGTTTGAAGGATGAAAACAATTAGCAGTTCAAGTGAAGTTATTGTTAGCAGCAGCAGCCCTTTTCCTGAGAGGCTATATCTGGTAAATGCTTTTGTAAGTAAGGGTAGTCCCATAGTATGTGAGCTCTTGCAAAGCAATAGGTAGGGGGCCAAAATCTTGATAGAAATATTTGATGCAGGATTTTCTTAGATTTCTGGAAGCAAGGACACAATTATGTATGTATTTTATGAATGCAAACTTCCAGGTCTTGCTTCCACAATCTCTTCTTAGGTCTCCATCACCATCTGTTTACCTGTGTGGGATTTGTTTGTTTGTTTGTTTTATGGTGTCAGCGTGACACCTATACCTTTTCCAACTATAACTGCTAATTGTGGCACATCTGTCAGCATGTCTGCCTGCAACTCAGACTTCATCTTTGCATAATTGTTTTCTGCTGAAGTGGCTTTTGTTCTACTTCAGAATTTCACTGGCCTGTTCCTGCAAAGGCAGAAGGCAGACCTGCAGCCCTGACTGCTGGGGAGAGGAGCTGTTCTCATTTTCCCGGTTAAGTTCCCAGAAGATAAATATAGCTGTGTACAACTCAGCATGGGGAGGGCCATAAGCCAAGCCAAGCTCAGCATGCTGGGTTTTGTAGTCCATCTGGTAGAAAATGGGCAAAGAGGTGGCCTCTTGGGTAGTAAACCAATGGAGAATGATCTGAGCAAAAATCACACAGCCCCTGTGCAACATCTCCAGTGAAGTTCATGGAAAATGGAATTTGAGACCCACACCAGGACTATGTGAGCTCTGGTCCAACCTGCAGAGAGATGTAGAAGGCCGAGTAGACATGTTAAGTGATAAACTAAACTGAAGGACCAAAGTAAAACTCATTCTTGAAGCCTGCTACCTGCTCTGGACATTTCTGTTTGGCAGTCATAAATTGCTCTCTGTTGGCTTTCTTCAGTTGCTTTCCTGGGCAAGAAAGTGATGGAGAAACTCTACCGCTGTGGTTCATGGGGTTTGTAGGCATCTAAGCACATGGAGACACACTGCATTTCTGCAAGTGATGCAGATGCTAATCTCTAACTAGGCTTTAGAGATACTATTGCAAAGCAAAAAGTAATTGCCAATAATTCTATTATGGATCAGCATCTGACATTTCAGGGGAAAAAAAGAACAGTGATGAGAGTTTAAACACCTGCTCTGAAATGATGACAGAAGCCATTATCCATCATCCTGGTACAACTGCTCTATGCTCCATACCTTTCCTTCTTAGCTAGATGTTTTCCATTTGTTCTTCTGCTTCCATCATAAGCTTCATCCTTCACGTCTGAGCTTCAGCTGTCAGCTACAGCTCAGCTGTCTAGATGTGTTGCATGTTCCTTACATTTGCATATAAGCATGTATAATTCAGGATCTAACGGTTAATCTGCAAACCTGATTATCTCTTGACAAATACTGCTAGCAGCTGACTTGCCTTGTCACCTGAGGTCTGAAATGAGGAATGCATGGAAGTCTCGTGCTATTAAAACTTAGTAGGTTTCTCTGTATTATGTGGCCTAGTCAAGCCCTAGAATTCAATTATAATTCAATTATTAATCTTTCTGTTGCTACCTATGGCAACCTCCAGCTGTGACAAATACAAGCTAAACAATGCTATTAAATATGCATGCTGTGTGTTCTACCATATTAGATAACACATTCGTGACCTGCTAATTCTGCCAATTCACAGCTTTGCTAATCCAGCCCCTTGTACTTTGGGCAAATTAAGAGGCTTTTTAGTTACACTTCACCTCTACTTTCTTTTCACCTTTTCTGTCCTTCCCTTGGAAACGGTGGTTGGTGGTCTACCACAGAGGTTTCCTAGTTTTCCTCATCTGTTTTACTAAGAAGCCAAGCCTGTCTCGAAAACAATGTGAAAGGCTGAAGCAGATACCCACGTCCCTCCTTCTCTCTGAGACCAGTGCTGTACTTTTTGAATCCACCACCCTCCCCTTTACACCACCAGCTCATGCACAGCTTACGCTCAGTATCCTGTCACTGCAGGAATGGAAGAATTGCCTCTGCTCTGCTCCTTCTGTGATCACACCCACTCGTGGCTCAGCTGAATGTTGACGTCTGATGCTTTTCTGCTCAGGCCTGTACCACCGTACCTAAGTCAGCTGGCAGAATACTATTCACTTTCTGCTCCTTTGCTGTGAATGCCCTTACAGCAGAAGGTGTCCTCTACCAGCACACCTCAGCTACCTGCGTGTTTTGCCTGCCTCCAAGTGGGGTGGGCATGAGTCAGCTCTGATCCCAAAGCCATCTGGCCGTGCAGTGCTGTGTGAGCTAATAAGGCTGATCTCTGAGAAGGTTCCTTCTGGGCTCAGGCAGAACATTTGCAGCTCTTTGGCACTTCAGCCTTGCGCCTCGCCAGGAGGGAAGTGGGCAAGTGTCCATTTGCATCCCTTGCAACGAGCCTGGCCTGCATTGCCTCATTCCCTCCCAGAAGGGGGATGAGCTGTAAAACTGTAAATACGTTACTGTGAGAGTGACTGAGTCTAGTCTCAGGAGAGAGTGCTGCGTTATCTGTATCAGGACAGATAGCACGCTGCTGCTCCAGTATGCAGGCAGTGCCTGAGCTCTTGTTATTCCCAGGAACACCAGGACCCACGAGGCCCCAGTACCCTGGCAGCTTCCAAAGCAGGCAGGGCTGCCTGCTGCCATGACAGAGGAGCCATTAGAAACTCAATTCTAGATGTAGATCTAGCCACTTGTGGTCTTGAAATTGAACCAGTTTGCACCCAGGAGCAGTGACCGCAGGAGCTCATCGTTTTCACACTTGCTGATGTGATGATCCCTGACTCCTACCCCTTGCAGGTAATCTTGTCCTAGCTGCTGGGGGTCACCCAGCTTTCTCCTGTCAAGTGGTGCAATGCCCGAGCTGTGCAGCTGGAGCAGAGGCCACACATGCTGCTGGCACACATCCTCTCCTGTTCTCCTGGGAGTGCTCCGTGAATCTTCCCAAGAGCTGACCCTACTTTTGCTCTTCTGACCTAACTTTTACTGTTAGTTTAAAACCCTGGAAATCCCTGGACACAGTGTCAGTGGAGGCTGAAATGGATTGGGCTGTTCCCTACACCTCTGCAGCAAACGTCCAAGTTTTCCTTCGGAGGGAGAGCGTTCACAAAAGGGTGCGTTAAGCCCCATCTGACTTGTGTGTACTATGGCTCTGTCCTTAGCAGGAGAAAGATGAATTCCCAGTGCTGTCTTACAAGTAGTAGTTACTGGGATGTACAAAGCTGATGAAGACAAGGCAAATTTTAACCTTTACATGTGGATTTTCCTGGCCATGTACCACTGCTGTTGCATGCACGTACAGCCCCCAGTTTCCCCGAGCAAGGCAGTCTTTCCTCTGATCTTGCTGTTACACACCCAGCAGATATCTCTGCCTGTGTGTTCGCACAGATCAGCAGGGTTCTGCTTCTTGCTCTTGAACCAGAGCGTTCTCTGCACTTTTGGCATTGATCGATACATAATTCAGAACGATTATTCTGCACACAAACACCAAAATGCTTTTCTGTTGATAGTGCAGCCTCTGCAGACTCAGCACATAAAATGGGTCACTACAGCGCTTGTTCTTGTTGCACAACTCCAGTGTGACTTCTTTTCCTTTTCCTTGCCCTTGAATGTAAACAAGTAAAACTAAGACAAGTCGGTAACAAAATCAGGAAAGGAGAAGGGGAAGGAAAGCTTCTTTTGGGACTGGTCTGGAGCCGAGCTTCCTCCCTGCTTCAGCAGCCTGGCTCCTGGGAGCTCGGGTGCTGGAGCTGCTGTGGAAATAAAGACCCATTGAGCAGTCTGGCTCCAAATTAGCATTTGAATTCCCTTGTAGTCTGTTGTCAGATGGGCAGGAGGTGGGTGCTAGTCTTGGTTTCTCAGTCCTGATACACAAAGGTGGCTTTAAAAGGTTTTCCTTTTTATTTATTTATTTTTCTCCCTGAAGGAAAGAAACGCGCTGTTCACACTAGGGACGCTTTGTGTTTTCGTTTTTTTTGTTGTTGTTTTCCCTCTCCTTTTCCCCTCTGCTTCACCCCCTCTCCCGGATCAGCCTGAGCTGTGGATATGGACCCGTCTGGGTATTGTTAGCCCAGTCTGACCTACTTCTCTCCCTCCCCTCGGCCCCGTGTTATGGATGCTGGTGCTATGGAAACCTGGGTGACATGCCAGCGCCACAAAGCCAAGGCCACCAGCTGCACCCTCCTCCCCCAGCCCCTTTCTCTCCCAAACACCCCTTGAAAAAAGTTAGTGCTGCTTCTTGTGGGAAGCCAAGGGGCTGCTCCATGTGGCCCAGCAAGCCCTTAGCGTATCGCTCGTCCTCCTGCTCGGCTGCGTTTCCTCCCCTGGTCCCAGGCACAGCGTTTCTCTGTGCAAACCCACACACCAGACCTGTCTGTGCACGTATGCTGCACACCAAGGGGAGGAAAGTACACGTGCGTGCTCTTGAAGTTTTCGAGATAATATGCTGCAAACCTCTTTATCAGCAGTACGAAAGCCTTACAGGAGCCTCGGTTCCCACACACATGCAGAGTGTGTGCACAGAGACCCCTGCAGCAGGTGGCAGAGGCTTTCCAAGGGGCAGAGCTGCCTGCTTCCACCTCCCTGGGGTGACAAGGCCCACCGGGAGGGAGGCCTGGTTACAAGACAGAAAAAATCTTGCTCCTTTTCCAGGTTCCCTTTGCTGTGCTGGCTGCTTGGCCTCAGAGGCTGTGGCCATGCATGAGCAGATTCACTTCCAAGTGCCCCAGGCCGGGCTTGGCAGCGGGGTGGGGGGAGCAGAAAGGAGACCAGAACTCTGTGAAGCACTTTCAGGGAGCTCTAGGGACTTTAATATGTCTCGAGGAGATTCCTGCGAGGCTGCAGGATCCTCACACTACCCCTAACACCAGGCCCGGCCCCGGCCCCGCGTGGCACCGGCGCCCTCTGGTGCCCGCCGCCCGCCCGAGGAGCCCCCGGCCCGGCCTCGGCTCCCCGCACCCCCGGGGGACCCCCCCTTCGGGGCCAGGCCTCCGGGCTTTTGGTGCTGGTGAAAGGTTGAGGAGAGAAAAGGCATCAGGAGGTGGTGGGAGGCATTCATGGGAAGGCTACCTAACATCTCACAGGGGCAGGCGGTGCGTCTGTACCTCCCTAAGGCACAGCCAGGGTAAAACATCGCTCTGCTTTTGCCAAAGGGTTTTGCCAACGCCTCTAGAAAAAGTTATTCTGTCTTTTTACACTGCTGACATCCCGGGCTCCCGTGAGGATGGGGCCCCGCTGCGCTGAAAACTCTGCACAGATGAGAGCTGTGCAGTTATTTCTGATTGAATTTAAGCCTTCCCGTGCAGCGTGTGCTCTGATCCGAGGCAGGAGAGCCTGAAAGGGAAACGGAGTGGGAGCTTTGCTGGACAAGCCAATTAAAGTGCAGGGAAGGAAATGAAGCAATGTGAAAAGTTCATCTCTTCCAGGAAAAAAAAAAAAACACCTGATGTTCTTACTTTGTGAGATATGTCTGTCACTAGGGGAGGGAGGGGAGGAAGGCAGACTTTAAAGCCTGGTTAAGCTGGCAGCACGCTATCGCAGTTGTTTTTGTTCCCTGATGAGAATTCCCCCTGTGACGAGGGCTCTGAGCACTTCTGGTGCTTTCTAAGCTGTGCTGCTAACACGGGGGACCGAGAGGCAAAAGGCTCAGTGCTTCCATCACTGAGCTCCTGTGAAAACCCAGCCCTCCCCATCACAGGGGGCTGAGCCCAGGGGGAGACCCCAGCACCAGGTAAAGCACCCAGCAAGGCTGAGTATTCACTTCTGGGCGCCTCAGACCCAAGTCCAAGGGCTCTGCAGCACTGAAAATTGTCTTCTCACTACTGGCACCCCTCCTGCAGGGAAACTGAGGCAATAGCAAGAAGCTCAAAACATTCAGCTTTTGTCCTGTGCCACACAGGAACCCACAAGGAGCACAGCACAGCAAGCTCAGCGCCTTTTTATTGGCAGTAGCTCCCGCGCACGTTGTTGCTCAGCGATTTTCAAAGTTACATGTGCAGTAGTGGTGAGTCTGCTCCCTCTCCCCCTGGCTCTGCTGTCTTGCAAGCTGCTCGGAGCAGACCATTGGCACATTTACGGCTGCTCCACTTTATCCCTCGCCCCTCGCCCTGCCCCAGCCCACAGGTGGCTCCAGACAAATGCCTTTCCTAGGTGTGGGCCCCAGAAAGCTGGCACTGACCCCAGCAGTGGTGCCTGGGCTGGACGTACCCACAGGGAGAATGGGAACGCCTCGGCATCTGCCCTGGCTGGGAAGCTGGGGCTGAGATGAGCTCACTTTTCTGTGTCCTGTTTTCCTAAAGTTCTCCTTTTTTTCAGGGCGTTGTTGTTTCGGCATCGGTCATGACAGAGTTGCCAGATATTTGCAATTGGCTCAAAGAGCACATGAGGAAAAATACCTCTGGAATAGCTCCGTGGTTCCTGCCAGCACAGGGCAGCAGGGAGGGAGGTGTTTAAAGCTCAGGTGAGGGCGGATTTGCCACCAAGGGCTGTACTCAGTGCAAGCCGTCTGCTATCACATCTGAGAAGCAGCAGGACACGGAGGCGAGGACACAGATGAGGGACGGGGCGTCACGCTGCCAGCAGCCGGAGGACGTTCAGCCCCGTGTAGTGAGAGAGGAAGAAATGCAGGAGGCCCAGGGCTGATGCTGCCACGAGGATCCAGAGAACCCCAGTGCTAAAGTAGATGGGGGCGAGCCTGGGAGGAACAAAGACCGAGCATCACTGCCCTCGCGTGGGATCGGCCCTGTTCCTAGAAGGGGTGGCAGAAAGGCAGCCCTGGATGCCCCCTGCCCCTGCTCCTGCCTGGAGGGAGCGTGCAAGCACATCCACCCACAGGGGTTCAGGCAGCCCCAGCCTCACCCCACACCCGTGTCTGGTGCCAGCCCCGTTCCCGTGCCCACGCTGCACCCAGGGCTGTGGCAGGGCTGACCCTGAAGCAGCCCCAGGGAGTGCTGAGCTCCCCCTCTTTCCCGAAGCACGCTGTGTTCCCCAGGGGGTCCCTGCTTGCTGGAGGCTGGCAGGAGGTGTTTACCTTTCTGAGGACGATGCCCTATATCCCACAAAGTAGCAGTAGCGGGAGTAGAGATAGAGCAGACCCAGGGCTGCAGCCAGACCTGCAGGTGAGAGAGATCACAGTGACCATCTCCAGAGGCTTTTTAGTGCTACTTCGGTCCCAGCAGATTGCCCAAAGGGGAGGGATAGAGGCTGTGTGTCCTCTGGCTCCACACTCCCAGCAGAGACAGAATTACTGCCTAATTAATTGTTCAGAAAGTGAGCAGGACCTGAGGGCTGAGCCAGTGCTGCTGACCCAGCATCCAGGCAGGTAAGAGGCTATTCTCACCTTGATGGAAGAAGAGTCCAGCCTGCCACAGGAGTGCCACAAAGATGGGAAAATACTCGGAGGAGTTCACCCTAAAGGAAAAGAGGACAGTCATAAACATGGGAAAGGAGGAAGATCCTCATTTTTTGGTTTCCCTCACAGTTTCTAGATGCTATAGGCTTATGCTTCTTAGAGATTATGTCTCCATAAAAGCCACCAGGCTTGTGCCTTTCCCTGCAGTTCCTGTCCTACCTTTATTCACAAGAATTAAGCTGTGGGAGGATCTGGGTCTCCAGGCCAGTCACTGTTTGCAGGGAACTAAAAGATGCCCAGGTCTGACCATGCACAAAAAGGCTCTGGGAACAGTTGTCTCACCACCACAGCTTAAATCCTGCCGTGAAAGCACAGAAGCCACAACCAAGGTCTGTCCCAGCTGGCTGTGTGCATGTCCAGGACAACGTGCATCGTGTGCAGACAAGGCCATCACAGCACGGGAGCAGGAGGGAGCACTTGGCCGTTCGGACTGGCTGTATTTGGGCAATTCCCCTCGCAGCCCCCCTGAGAGCTCTCTGGGAGCTCGTATGTCCCAGTGAGGGGGTTCAGGGCAGTGGTGAAGCTGCCTCAGGCTTTGACTCTACTTGGTGACAAACAGACTAAGGCTCAGGCATCAGAAACTTTGCCTTTGCTTTACAGCACAAATTCCTCTGTGGTTTCTATCAGCAGTGGTTGTTGTGTTTAGGACTTATGAGCCAACAAAGTCCTGACACTGACTCTTATACCCCTTAACTGGACCCAGGGGAGGTGGGTGCCAGATGCAGTGCTGCAGGGCATCCCGAGAACAGAAGGGCAAAGCAGGGGAAAGGCAGTGCTGCAGACCTGAGGTCTACAAAGCACCTTATTACAGGAGTTTCTTACTGTGCTCGAAAGATCCTCTCGAATTCAGGTGGTCCTGAGATATTTGGAGGAGAAATGCCAAACCTCCTCCTGGCATAGATCACCTGGAGGAGGAAGTAGGCTGCAGTAAAGGAGAGAAAAGTAGCACGGGTCAGTCATCTGAGTGTGCTCGGTGGCCAGGAGATTGTCAGAGATAGAGGAGAAAGTCCTGCAGCCTCCCCCTAACCTTGCAGCCCTGGAGAGCAAAGCCAGCTGAAAATCCCAGACACCCTTCAGACATGAAAAAGGGAATGAGACAGGGCAACAGTGAAGCAAGGAGTGTGCAGTCATGTACAACCAGTGGCTATCTGGTTTCTCTCTGGCACGATTAACATATCATCTATTATCTGTACAAATAGTTGTGCAGTTCAGAACACATTGTTGTTGCCATTTTTTTTCCCTAGACTTTTACTTCTTTCCCCTTCTAAATAGCCGAGCAGGGAGGGAGCTGACACCACAGATAAGCCAGCCAGGTGCTGAAATAAATGGTCATGCAATGTGAAACAATGGTTGAAGGGGATTCTGTGTGCCCCACCGTGTCCTGCTCTTCCCCCTCTCAGGGCTGCTGTGCTTTTTATGCTACGTTGTGCACCAAACTCTGAAAAGCAGCTGAGTGGCAGTGTGACAGCAGAAGCATGGCATGGAAGTGCAAGGAAATTGGTGGAGGCACAGTAGATTGGCCCAGCAGGTATTTGGGCACGGGTATACGATGCTCCCTACCTTGCTCCAGGACTCCCAGAACTGTCACGGCAGCCAGCAGATGGATCTGATCCAACATATTGATTCTTCCAGGCTGGAAAACCTGATTTCCTGAGCAGGAGCTCCTCTGACCGGGTTCAGTCCTTGCTGATGTGGTGGTCGGCGGTGGCAGCCGGCAGCATAGGCTGGCTCTAATCGAACAGGAGAGATCTGTAGGCAGTGCTTAAAACCAGGAGCTCTCGGGTGGCCCGTTATCATATGCACAGTAGAAGTGTAAAGTGGTGGAGAAAGTTCTAACGGAGAATTTCCGTTCCCACCCTCCCTTTTCCAGGAATCTGAGATGAGGAAGTGAGAAATCCAGCAGAAAGCTTATGGGAGAGATAAGAGAGGGGAAGGGTGATGGTGGGGGGGGGGACGGGACAGATCCCAGCAGCCCAGCTAGTTCTTCTCCTGGTATATCTAGTTTCAAAGCTCTCCTAACGCAAGCCAAGGCGCATCCCTCCTGCTGATGCAGCACACGAAGCCCCCACCTGAGCTGACACGTCGGGAACCCCAGGCAGCAGCTCCCAGGCATGTGCCAGGTACAACTCATGGCACAGGTGTGGAGCCAGATAAAGCCCCCGCACCAAGAACCCGCTGCAGCTGCAGGACAGGACAAGAGCAAGCACAGGAGGCACAGGTCTGCCCTGCAGTGTTTTGCTGGATCTGCAGGTGAGACCTGCACTATGGTTCGACACGGGTTTCAGAGCCTGCCCTCATGTTGGGAAGGTCGGGAGCGGTGCATTTAAGCCTCCCGCTCAGTCCTCAGCCAAAATTGCTCTCATGATCCACATCAGAGAGATCTGGGAGGGTAAAAACCTGCATGATCCATCAGGGTAGAGCAGGAGCCCGGTGTTTTCACGTGTGTGTGCCTGGAGCAGCCCGCTCGGCCGGTTCCTGTCCATCAGCACTGCGCTGGCACAGCCACGCTGCCCAGCCCTGGCTTTGTCTCCTTCCTCTCCGTCATTCACAGAATTTCCCTTTGGCTCAGGGAACTTAGGGTTAGGACAAAACGATCATTAAACTTCATTGTTACGGAAAACAAGATCAGACTTATGCAAGAGAACTACATTGTAGTCCGGTGCCCTCGATGGACCTTCTAAGAAACAGCAAAGCGGGGCTGGCTTTTCGCCTCCCTCTAACAGCTAAAGACTCAAAGAGGCTACAACGTGCCCCAACTTATTTCTCCAAATACCTACGGCAGACACCACCATTTTTCAAGCATCGGCTGCAAGATTACTTCTTTCATATCAGGACCGATGCTTTTCCACTCCAGCAACTGATTAGAAATACGAGGGCCATGGTGTTTTGTTTCCTCCAGCTTGACTGTCAGAAAAATGAAGAATTTTTCTATGTCAGCTCAGAAAGGGCAAAGGTCTCTCTGTGCTCAGTGCAGTTGGTTTTACCCTCAGTGCCTGGCTGATTATAGCCTGCTAGCAAAAGAACACACGAAGCACAACAACAGAACAAAAAGCTCTGTGCGGACACCTTGGTCAGACGACAGCACAGTGTGACCCGAGTCAGACGCGTGTAAGGAAGCCTCAACCAGAAGAAGTTGTGAAGAACCATACAGAGCACTCCCGCTCCCCAGAGCATCATTAGAAACAAAATATTTCTAGTATCATCTAATACAATCTAAATATATCAAAGGCCAGTAGAAACATGAATGAAACAAGCAGAGAAGTCTCTCCCCTCCTCCCTCACACAGAAACATGACTTTTCAAGCTGCCTTTACCTCCCGCAGGCCATCCTATTTATCTCACCCCTCTCTGTCACCACCAGAACTCCCTGTATTTTCCATCCTCACTCCAGGCTCACCAGGAGCCGGCACGAGCACCTTCCTCCTGCACTAAATGCCACCCTACAAGGTGACTGCGGGCTGCTGGCATGGCCACCACATCCCTGGGCTGCGTGGATCAAAAGGGGAAGGGGACGGGATGGGACGGGATGGGACAGGACGGGACGGGACGGGACGGGACGGGACGGGACAGGACGGGATGGGATGGGATGGGATGGGATGGGATGGGATGGGATGGGATGGGATGGGATGGGATGGGACGGGACAGGACGTCACCGCTGTCACCAGCTGCCTGTGATGCCACTGGAACGAGCATAATGCAAGACCTCACCCTCCGAGGCTGGTGATGCTGAATTTCCTCCTAATCAAAGACAAGTCCTGCAGTCCCAAGTCCAGGCTGGGTATGGATTTTTGGGGTGGGAGCTGAGGAAATGCTGCCCCTCTCTTCCCGGTCTCCCCTGGCTGCACACTGCTCCCCACTGCTCCCCAGGATGTGTGTACGTGAGCATGGTCCCAAGTCGTCGCACCTCCCCCTGAGTCATCGCTGGAGGCATTTCTCCAAGCCCACGCAAGCTGGTGTTGCTCTTGCCACCCCTTCGTGTAGCCCTTAATCCTTTCTGCCTCCTAATTACCACCGTAGGGCTGCACGGCGAGCTGTATTGCAATGCTGATCTGGATTAAAAGTAATCTTGGGAGGAAAAACAAGCAGCACAAAAGGCCTGGGGGAGCTCGCAGCAGCGGCACAGTGTGCAGTACCTCTTGCTCCCCGGCAGCAGGGGGGCAAGGAAAAGGCAGCCCGGAGCTCGGAGACGTTACACGCAGCAGAATCCCCTGGAAATGTGCTTCATGAGCCTGCAAGAGGCCAAGAGCTCTGTTGGCGGAAAAAAAAAACAAAACCATTTTCCTTCCGAGCAACTTACCCTTCAGCTGCGAAGCACTGAGGCTCCTCATCCTTCCAAAGGCATCGTAAAAATATAGCAGAGTTTTCGAACCCCGCTGGCACTCGTGCTTCCTTTCGTTTCTAATGCTTCTGCGGCCACCGAGCACATCCAAACCTGGGACAGCAGAACTGCACGCGGGAGCAGTGAGTGTCTTTGCAGCAGCCACGCAGAAAAAGAGAATTTGGGGTTCAAAAGAATTAAAAGTCAGAGAGAAAAAAAATAAAAAAAATAAAGAGGGGGATAATTAAAAAAGGTGGATTTTTTTTTAGTTCAAAAGAATTCAAAGCCACACAGAAATAGAAGATTTTTGGTTTTTGATTCTAAAGAATCAGAGAAGAGCCCCGAGCACCTCAGGCTGCTCAGCTAACCCCTCCCTTGGGCTGGGACAGCGGAGGGGGCAAAAACGCCTTCCTGTGCTCCCGCGGCTGCGGGGAGCTTCCATTGTCTCAGATCAACATGTGTCAAGACTTCCTTTGAGTTCTTGGATTTTGCAGCTGCAAAAGGAAGGGCAGGCATGAAGAAAAACGTGGCAAGAAGACAGCAATTCATTATTTCATCACTTGTTAACAACCTCTGCCATTCCTAAGAAACAGGGACAGCTGCAGCCGATTTCTGCTCTGCGCTTCCAACCGGGGCTCCCGGGAAGGTGCAGGCTGGCTCCGACCTCCTGGGCATTTTGACGTGCATCCAGGGCCTGGCATTTCGCAATAACCTTGAAAACTTTGCAAGAAGTGGCAAGAAGCAGCTTCCTAAAATGCGGAGCTGTACAGAGGCTCCTCTTTTCACAGAGCGAGGCGGCAGACAGTTGGTTTTGCCAGCGACGTTCAGGCTGACATCCTGCGAAGTGTCGCTCGGTGTATGAACTGGGTAGATATTGGAGAAGCAGGTTAGCCCGTTGAGCTGGACTGATTTCGGCTGTAATTCCCGAGATTTCTGGGTCTGTGCCATATCAAAGAGGTCACACAAACGTTCTCAAGTAATTGGTTATCGTAGAAGTTTTAAGGGCCAAATCTCCTATGGGCTGCTTCAACCTTTGGCCCTACTGGCAGTGGTTTTCATCTCAGCAGAGATAAAATGCTTCAGCAGCAACGGTGGGAAGCCTCCCTTTAAAGCCTTTGGGAAACTATGTAAATAAATGTATGATTCTCATTCAGTCAGGGATAATTTGGAGGCATTTTTTATAGCTTTCTTCTAAAGGAGGCTGATGACCTTTATCTATGTGCGTATTAAATCTGTCTAGAGGGCATGTTGGTATAAAAGCAGTGCCAAGAAGCTACCCTTGCTTAGTCATCATCAAAAGCATCAATACATGCAAATAAGTAATAACTCCTCTTCTACGGCCAACATCTGCTAAAACTATTAAAACACGCAAGTTCAACCCCTCTCCTGTCCTGCCTTGTCTCATACTATTGTCACGTGGAGCAAGCAACTCCTTTCCGAGTATTTTGCCAATTTTCCTACTCCCTTTTCAGCAGAATGTCAGAAATAGCACATAAATAATAAAGAACAACACCAAAAAGGCAACTGTGCTTCTGGCCAGAGCGAGCAAGAATGAATTTCTGGCATGATAAGTGCATATGGCAGGAAGAGGGATGATTCTGCCTTGTGGAGGGACAAACAAGCCTTTCAAGTATCTTTGGCAGCTCTGATGTTAACACACACACACTGTTATCCTATAATGATGCAGGGAAAAAAAATGACAAGGCTAAAGCCACATAAAAATGCATCAAAGGGCTCAAAGTGGCGGTGGAGGGCGGCTCGCCTTTCCTGGATTACAGGGGTGAAGAAGCAGAGCTCCCTCGCTGCCCTGTCCCATTTGGGCCAGGAAGGGAGTGCTGGCAGCAGTGAGGGGCTGAGTGTGGGCAGCTCTACGGGGGTGCTCTTTAGGAAGGAGCTGGTGTTCCTGATGGGTCTCCTGCAGAGGAGAGGCCCCGGGCTTGCCAGAACAGGGAAAGAGCCAGGGGAGTTTGCCCAGACTGGGGAGGTGCTGCTGGGATGCAGCCACCAGGAGGGCAGCGGTCACTGTGACCTTACGGGGGCTTTTCACAGCAAATCCTGTCCTACAGGGGAAGGAGGCAGTTCCTGGGGGCAGCGGAGGCATGACGTGTGTGGGATGGATGGATGTTTCCAGAAATAAAGGTGCTGCAGATGGCAGCAGGGCTCGGACCGTCGTCCTTTGAACTCTGCTGCCCTCATGCCTTGTTGAGATGCACTGAGCGATGTCCCCCAGGGGGACACCAGCCTGGGCTGCCCAAACTGCTGGGGCTGAGCAATGCGGCTGCCGTCCCTTCCCCACTCCCAAGGGAGGCTCTGGACACAGCCTCTGTCCATGAATGCCGCTGGCGGGGGACCAGGGAGCCGGCAGCAGTCAAACATCACGAGGGCAAGAGGCAGCCGGGAGGGGCTGAGGTTCTGGTCACCAGCTGTGACTTCTCCTTGCCTTTGTTCAGCTGAGCCTGGGGAGGAGGCCGAGGTGACCTTGGGCAGGGGCAATCCTGGGAGGTGCCAGAGACCAACCCGGGCATCGCTTTTCCTCCCAGTGCTGTCTGGTCTCACCTCCGAGCCACGTTGTCCCCTCCAGCTGTGGGGCGCTGGCTGTAAGCGAGGAGATCGTGCTCTTCCCGGAGGCCTTAGAAGCAGCTGACAAGCATGTCAGGCACAGGGAGCCTTCACAAAAGGCCAGAGGCTGTCCCTCAGCAGTGACCGATCACACATGGGGACAAAAGAATAGCTTTAAAAACAGCTGGGTTTATTTTTAGGGTGTGAAATGGCCGCACAATGCAATTGTGTAAAAGAACAGAACAACCAGAAGCAGCACTAAACACCAAATTTGCCTGCACACCCTTGCTTTTAACCACCGGGACGCTGAACAGCAGTGATAGTGGTGTTCCTGACGGCAATCCACCTTCCAGCACCCGAGTGTGGGATGGATGGACTGGTAGTCTCACTGCTCTGATAAGAGGGCTCTGATAAGAGGGCAGTTCCTCGAGCTCCTGATCGCAGCTGCACCCCGCAGCTCCACTGGGGAAAAGGAAAGGGAAGCAGCATGCAGTAATTTGAAGATTTCTTGTTGCTCTCACACAAGAAGCATCCCCCTGCTTCCAGTTCCCTGGCGTGGCGTGCACAGCCTTTGTCACGGTGCTGCGGGGCCTGGGCAGGCAGGGCAGCGGCAGAAGCAGAGCGCCCAGGACCTGTGCGCTCCTGGCCACCGCCTCTGAGACCTCTGTGCTTTCTTCTGGGTCTGGCGTGGAGCTGAACGCACACAGGAGCTTGGACTTTTGTTCTGGAAAGTTCTGGCAGTACTGCTGCTCATCGCAGTTTCACATCGCAGCCTGATCCCGTAGAGCCTGCACAGACCCCAGCTGATGCCACGTCCCGTACGGTTTAGTGATGACATGTAACAGCTTGCTTGCTTCATTCCCTGTCTTGATCTTCTCATCCTGAGTGCACCCCTTAAAGTTTTGGCTGTTGCTGTAGTTCTGCAAATACCAAAGAACAATTTGCCCTGCCCTCTGTGCAGGCAAAAAGTTTCCGGTACCCGTGTGACAACTAAGCTCTTGGCAGCAGGAATCACAGCACTAGAAATTAAAAAGAAAAGTAGATTATACAAGAAAGGGATTAAGGGAACTCAATCCCACATTCCTGAAATTGCCCAAGGGGAGCAATGGTTTCTTAGAATCTGTTTTAAAGATCTTCACTAAGTCACAAACCGTGGAAAAAGACTGAGCATTAACCTGTAGGACTGCTCATTATGCTCAGATGCTAACGTAATCCAATGCTATAAGGACATCGCCTGGGCAAAGGCGACCAAATAGGGTTTTAATTCACTGTCATCCCCAACCCAGTGATTTTTTTTTCAGGCAGAGCTGTTATGAAGCAACCAGAGAGCTTCTGGGACTGGCTGCAGCCCACCACGTGGATGAAATCCCCCTTGAGCACTGGAAGTGGGTGAGAGAATGAAGACTTCAGCGTGAGCCTCCACTTGGAGAAGCTGTAGGAGGTCAGGCTCTTGTCTGCTTTTTGGTGATCTGGGCCAGTAAATCACTGCGCACAAATCTGTTGGCCATGGTTGGGCAGCTTTGCTTAAAATCAGCTTTGTTCCTCCCAAAATGGCTATCAATCAGTCAGAGTTGCCTTTCCACAGGGTAGAGCGTGGATGCCCACCTGCAAGGACACTTATTGCATGCTCGCTTTAAGGAGCAGTCGCCTGTCACATAAAGAAATGCCAACAGAGAACGCTGCAAGGAAAAGGCTTGTATTTTGTCTGGTGAATAACAGGATGGATGTCAACCCACCAGTAAGGTCCTTACGGAGTTAATCCTAGTCTCCAAGGGGGTTTTGCTGGAAATTTTATTAGGACACTACTACTTTGTCTAATTTTTAACTTCTGTCAGAGAAGGAAGTGGCTCCTCAAGAATATAGAGTCCAGTCTGTTGGTACAGGACTTACCAGGGGACCACTGTTTGGATTTTTACTAAAGCAAACAGGAAAATCCTCTCCTCTAATTTATATGAGGTTCAATGTCTACAACAGATTAACATGGACAGCTGTTATCTGCAGAACACTTATTTTTTTCTCCAGTGAAAACGAGTTCAAATTCCTCTCAAAGTCCTCTCATGATCAACCCTTTTAGTATTTAACATTTCATTTACTAGAGACCTTCTTATCTCTAAATACAGGGTTTCTTATTCATATATATACATATAGGTTTTTATTACCTATGTTTTTATTACATATAGATTTTTAATTATACATACAGATACAGATCTTTCATATATTTGTACATGTATATATAAAAATCTACGAAGATCTGTAAAACAGATGCTGATTTAGCAATCAGCTGAAAAATAAGAAAACAGAAAAGCCTGCATTTAATACAGAGATTTTGCTGAGTTTGTGTCACATCTACATCTTTACATATGAAAAGGAAGGAGGATCTGTTTGACTTTCTTTGCTGCCTTGTAAAATACTATCAGAAACAAACAAACAAACAAACAAACAAAAAACCCTCCACTGAGAATCTGTCTAGGATAGCAGAAAGCCTGCAGCTCAGCCTGCTTCTAACTTGGATCGTGATTGTTCAGAAGGAACAAGAGGAAGGACCCTTATCACTGAGCTGATGGACAGATTAAAAGTGGACCTGTTCTTGGGACAAAGTGTCATACTGAAATGTCCCAAGATAACAAAGGAAGCCAAGGATGCGTTTTCAGAAAGTCAGTCAGTAACTGATTCAAGTTCCACACACAGATGCTTGCAAAAACGGAGAGCCTAATAGAGAAAACACTTAGAATAAATGGGAAATGCAAAAGCATAAGAGTGAGTTTATCTGACATAAACTGATTGTTATAAGCCACAGTTTCTAAGAAGGCAGCAAGGGAGGCAGGTCAGCTGCAAGCCTATTCCTCCTGGCATGGCTAACATGCTCTGAAAGAATTCAAGCTCTTACCTAGCCTGGTTTCTTGCTGGAAAACTAAACCACTGTGCTTCTGATGCTGGAATCTGTTCGAGAACAGCACCATTCCCTGAGGCATAGTTGATATTTTTAATAGTCTTAATCAGACATCTCTTCATTCCTCCTCATTCTTAAGTTTCCATTGAGCTTAGTAGCAGCTTGCCTTTATAATTTGATCTATTTCTTCCAGTTATAATACTCAGCCCATGATTAATTCAAGTCTTGAGTGATAAGATCTAACTCCAAGCTATTTGACTTGAAAAAGAGAGCAGAGGTTGTCATGGTTCACTCGTGTAACCTTAACCATCTCTCGCAGCCTTGTGCCAAGCAGACATCTTCTGAGTGCCTCCAGACTGTCTTCATTTCCCTATCAGCCAATGCACCGAAGGAGGCCTCTCATTCTCCAGTTTCTGTGTGCTTTTCTAATAGCCAGCCAGTGCCGAAATAAATCCCCACCTCCACGCCCTCATGGGTTTCTACGTGAGAAAGCTTCTGCATCTTCCAAGTCTGCAGAGAATACTACAGGGTTTGTTTCGATGCACACCGCTGCCGTGCTGCTTTTAAATCCATGACTCACCCTTTTCCCTGAAATGATATCAGAACAGCCACGATACATTTAGGATTTTTTAACAACTGCCAGCTCCTGAATGTGCTTTGCTGAAGGCAGGAGCTGTTCTGCCTGCGGGAGGACAGCAAAGGACCACAAGGAGAGGACACCCCCAGGGCCGTTCTCATCGCTCTGCTTCCTCGAACCAGCAGAGAGCTGGTGGACCCCAGGCCCTTGCTTACATCTTCTTTGTTCACACATTGCTTTAAAAAAGACTTTTTGATTTCTGAAATATCAGTAAGCATCTTTTCCTTTCATTCCCTCATCATTTATACGGCAGCGGCAGA